AACAATTCATAATTAAAAAATAAAACTCTTAGTAAACTAGAAACACAAGTGGATTTCCATAATATAATAAAACATATCTTAAAAAACCTAAAATTTATAGAACATATATTTAAGAATGAAATGTTGAAAGCTTTACCTTTTTAAAGATACCGATTATCACTTCTTTTCAACACTGTACTGGAGGTCCTAGCCAATATAATAAGTAATGAAAAAAATTGAAAAGAAGAAACTACATTGTTATTAGTCACAGATTACATGATTTTATGTGTAGATAAAAAGACTCTATAGATGTGTTATTAGTTTAGGAATTCTTTCTATTTTTTACAAGACAGGGTCTCAGTCTCAGGCTGGAGTAAGTATAGTGGCACAATCATGGCTCACGACAATCTTGAACTCCTAAGCTCAAGTGATTCTCCCACTTCAGCCTCCAAGGTAGCTGGGAGTACAGGCACGTGCTGCCACAAAAAGCCACATTTTTTAAATCTTTTGTAGAGACAGAGTCTTGCTATGTTGCCCAGGCTGGTCTCGAACTCCTGGCCTCAAGTGATATTCCCACGTTGGCCTCCCAAAAGTTGCTGGGATTACAGGTGTGAGCTGCCATGCCCAGCCAGTTTAGCAATTCTTTTGGAAATAAAAATTATTGTAAAAAAATAAATTCTATTTTCACATAAAAGCAATCAACAGTTAGGAAACAGAAGTTTTGAAAAAAATGCCATTTGTAAGAACATTAAAAAATATCAAGGACCATTAATAAATCTACAAAAGATATGCTACGCCTCTTTGGTGGAACCTGTGAAAGTTTATGCATTCACAGACATTAAAGGCAGCCTAAACAATGGAGAGAGATCCATTATGTTCAAAATTAGAAGATTCAATAGTGTAAGAATATTAATTTTTGCCCAAATTGATCCATAATTCAATATAATCTTAACCAAAATCCTAACAAGTTCATTGGGTTTTGTTTGTTTTATTTATTTTAGTGGAACTTTGCAAGCTGATTTAAAAATTTGTGCATAAATACAGAGGGCCAAGAATTAGCCAAGAAAATGTTTAAACATGTTTAAGGACTTTCTCTATATAAGAGACCACATAAAAGCAGTACTTTATAGCTATAGAGAAAATACTCTTTTAATACATGGTGCTGGGGCAAATTGGTATAATATACATAATTAATTAATTAACTAACCTGGACTCCCAAATTACACTGCACCTAAAAATAAATCCCAGTAGATTTTAAGATCAGATGTAAAAGGAAGAACAAAAAAGCATTTAAAATACAACACAGCAGAATACCTTCAAAATACTGAAATGGGAAAAAATTTTTAAATATGATACAGAATACACGTACAAAAAAAAGACTGACAAATTTAAGTATTTTAAAATTAGGCATTCTAACTACCAAATTCATCATTAAGTGTGTAAAACAGCAAGCTACAGAGAAGAAATATCTGAACCACTTAAAACTGATAAAGGATTTGAAAGGATTTGATCTAGAACTGTGGTCCCCATGCAGACTGGTATCAGTCTGCAGCATGTTAGGCACTGGGCTGCAGAGCTCCCTTGCCCACTCCCCTTCCGTGGAAAAACTGTCTTCCATGAAACTTAGGAAATGGGGGGATGGTATTTATAGCCGCTCTCCATCACTGGCTTCACCGCTTGAACTCTGCACCTGCATCTGTACACCCCACCCCCACCCCGGTTGTGGAAGAATTATCTTCCAAGAAACTGGTCCCTGGCACTAAAAAGGTTGGGGGCTGCTGAATAAAGTCCTAAAACCATCATACAAAGGCAGACAACCAGATGCAAAATGGGCAAAAAACTCTAGACACTTCAGAAGAGAAAATCCAAATGGTCAACATACATATGAAAAAATGCGAATCCTCATAAGCCACCAGGGAAATGAAAGCTAAAACGAGATACAACTATAAAGGACCAACCTGGCAAAAATTTTAAAATCTGACAATTCTAAGTATTATTGAACATGTGAAGGAGTGGGAACTCTCATATTGTGATTATAAGTAAAAATTAAGACAAATCCTTTGGAAAACAATTGGGCATTATACAGTAGAGATGAAGACACACATATCCTATGACCCAACAAATTCTACTTCTAGGAAATACCCTAAATAAAAGTGAATACCTGCATATAGGATATTTATAAACAAAAGACTCTACAGGATTGCTATTTGTAATAATCAAAGAACAAAAACTACTCATGTATCTATCAATAAAATGGGTAAATTGATCTACAAACAATGGTGTATCATACAGAAATGAAAATCAGTGAATTGTAGCTACATATTACAATATTAATGAATACTAAAAACATTATGTAAAACTAAACTATTATTTAGTGATACAAACTTTGATGGTAACCCACTATATACAAAATTAAGCAATTATTTCATTAGTCAAGACAGTGAGTACTTTGATGGGTAGGAAGAGCATGCTATGGATTTCTGGAAGGCAGCCCATGTTTTCTTTTTTGTCCTGAGTGGTAATCACAAGGTGTATATTTTCTGATGTTTTGAAAACTTGTTCATTTATGTTTCATGCACTCTTTCACATGTAGTATATTTCACAAAATAAAAGTTAAAAATATTAAAAGGTCTATAAAATTGAGAATAGTGGTCATTACTAGGGGAAGGAAAGATGGAATTGAGGGTAGACTGGTAACTTCAAAGGTATTTCTAATGTTTCATTTCTTAAGCTGGGCAGTTTCTTTTATTATTATACTTTGTACATGTACTTTATATATTGTTTTATATGTATAATGTCACCAAAAGTACAAATGACAAAAAAGTTGATATACTGAAATTATCAAAATTAAAAACTTTTACACTGAAAGTAAGAAAGTAGAAAACATAAGAAAGTAGAAAACATAATCGACAGAAGGGAGAAAATACTTGTAAATCATGTATCTCCATAAGGGATTTATATCCAGAATATATAGAGAACTTTTTCAATCCAATTATAAGAAGCTGAATAACACGATTTTAAAGTGGCAAAAGATTTGGATAGACTTTTCTCCAAAGAAGATAGACAAAAAACTGTCCCAACAAGCACATGCAAAGACGTTCAACATCTTTAGATCCTTAGGAAAATGCAAATCAAAATTATAGTGAAATACCATTCCATATCTACTAAAAGTGGCTAATCAAAAAGACAGATTTTTGATTAGCCACCTTTAGTGACAAGAGTTAGTAAGGATTTGGAGAACAGAAACTCGTATTCATTGCTGGCAAAATGAGAAATGGTGCAACCATGTTAAAAAAAAGTTTAGAAATGTCTCAAAATGCTAAATGTAGAGATACCATATGACCCAGCAAATCTACTCTTACGTATCTACCTGAGAAATAAAAACATATATGCATGCAAAGACTTGTACACTAATTTTCATAGCAGGATTATTCCTAACAGCAAAAAGTGGAAATGACTCAAACTAGTACAACCTCTGTGGTAAGTAATATGGAGATACCTCAAAGAGCTACAAGTAGAATTACCATTTGATCCAGCAATCCCATTACTGGGCATCTACACAGAGGAAAAAAAGACATTCTATAAAAAAGACATCTGCACTAGAATGTTTATAGTAGCACACTTCACAATTAGAAAGATGTGGAAACAACTCAAGTGCCCATCAATACATGAGTGGATTAATAAATGTGATATATGTATGCCATGGAATTCTACTCAGCCACAAAAAAAACAATGGTGATCTAGTACATCTTGTATTATCCTGGATAGAGCTGGAATCCATTCTACTAAGTGAAGTATCACAAGAATGGAAAAACAAGCACCATATGTACTCACCATCAAATTGGTATTAACTGATCAACACTTATGTGCACACATAGTAGTAACATTCATTGGGTGTTGGGCAGGTAGGGGGGGAGGAGAGGATGGGTATATTCACACCTAATGGGTTTGGTGCGCCCATCTGGGGGGATGGACATGCTTGAAGGTCTGACTCGGGCAGGGCAAAGGCAATATATGTAACCTAAACATTTGTACCCCTGTAATATGCTGAAATGAAAAAAAGTAGCAATGATCCAACTGTTCATCAACTGATAAATGGATATACAAATCTGCCGTATCAACACAATGAAATACTACTCAGTAATAAAAAAGGAAAGAAGTATTTACATGTGCTGCAACATGGATGAACCTCAAAAACACCATGCTTGGTGAAAGAAGCCACATATAAAAGATCACAGCGTATAATTCCATTTATATGAAATGTCCAGAATAGATAAATCTATACAGATAGAAAGTAGATTAGTCACTATCTACTACTGGGGTAGGCATAAGGATTCTTTTCAGGGTGATAGAAATGATCTAAAATTAGCTTGTCATGATGGCTGCACATCTCTGTAAATATACTAAAAACCATTAAACTATACATTTAAAATAGGAGAATGTTTTATTATGTAAATGATATCTTAATAAATTTATAAAAAGTTGTCAAGTAGGGCAGCTTCCATAAATAATTATTGCATTTTTCTGAAAGAATGTCATTTAAAACTCTTAGAACTTGATCTTACTCTATTGGCAGTTTGATTCCTCCCTGCCTCCATAACCTTCCCTCTTTAAGGGAGGAATAGTACAGGGGCATAGGAAATATGAACTTTTTGAAAACATGAAAAGATTTCTTCACAGATAAAAATAATTCTCAACTACTAAATAACCAAGAATATTTCTTAGGGCTGACAAAAAAATAAAACAGATTTAAAAATCAAGAAAATTAGTTTTATATAGTGAGGCAATTTTCAAAATTCTGAATGATAGAAAACAGGGCTTTATCCCATAAACCCTGAGGTAATAGTTTTTGAAACAGCTTAGTTAGTACAAGATAGGTAATATTTTGGGAACCTTAATGTTTTCATAAAATAGGTAAAAGTACTTTTGCATCAGCTAATACAATAATCTGTCATTTAAGGGCACATCCTTGTAAATATTTGTCTTTCCAGAAAAAATTTCTGTAGGAGGATTGCTTTTACCGTTGATGTGAGGAGGAAACTGCCAGGCCTTGTTAGTTGAGGGACTGATGTTCCTGCAATTGCCATTGCAACAGTCTGGCTTATCATATTTCCATTTTCACTTTCAAAATCATCTGTCGCTATACAAATTGGTCTTCCTCGTTGATTGTGAGTTTCTGGAGAAAAATAACACCCCCAAAATAAGTAACAACACTGTTTAGCTCAACTAACAGTTACTGAACATGTAGTTCCTTTTCCTATTATTCTTTAAAAGAAAAAACCTGTTAACATTCAATATTTATCATTAGATTTACTTCTTCTAGATATTATTTTAAATATTTTAAACAATAACTCATTCTTATGCTAGTAATTTATAGTTTTAGAGAACTTTAACTTGCTAATAAAAGATCCAATAATATAAACATTTCTGCCTTCAGGTATGGAAATCCATCATAGTGATCAAATACTGGGAAGACTATACTCAACTACCAGAACTATCAGTCCCTTAAAGGCAAAAAATTGGTTATCTTTGTAGCATCAGCATCTGTCAAAGCTCTTAAATACATATTAGTTACTCAGGAAATGTTTTTGTTTTATTGAACTGGAAGTACTTTGCTAAGCTAATTGCTAATTTAAATTCCTTCATTTGCCCTAACAAAATATTTTTGTAACCTAAATTCTACATTTATTTAAATTCTAAATTTGAGTGAATTCCAATTTAGTTAAATTCTAAATATGAAAAGTAAGATCAATAAAACTTTGGGAGTTCTAGTTTTGAAGAAGCAACATAACTTCAACTTGTTAACCCAGTATTGGCAATAAACATAATTCTTGATACTCAGATGAATATTAATTTCAATTATATATATGAATAAAGCTGAAACAGAGGGAGGTAGATAGCTGTCAAGTTTTCTTGTATTTTTTTCTTCAGATGCATGGTACTAATTCACACAAACAAACCTATTTCCTAAAAGGTAATGTAGGTAATATAGAATGCCATGAAGTCATTATTTTTAAACTCATCGTAAGAACTACTTACAGTAATCTTGTGCTGAATTCTCTCACATAGTCAAAAGTTTTTCAGCAATATGGTTAAATATTTATAGTTTATTTGTATCAGTGTACATTTGCTTATTTTCCTAAAATAAGATCTTTATCCTTGGGATAGTTTCTAACACTTTCAAACATTGAGCTTTGCCTTTAAAATTTGTCTTAATTATTATACTAAGTACCTGTAAAATCATGCAGCTGAGGTACAGTTTCCATAATAACACCAATCAGAGGTAGATACAACATGGCCACCCGAGCCTTTATCTGAGGGTCAGAGTACCGGGGGTCTGAGTCATGACTGGATAGTAAATTGTGTACCATATTGATGACTTTCTTATGCAATCCAAACAGTCTATTTAAAAAGAAGACAAAGAAGAAAAAAGTAGTAAGGTCACCGAGATTAGTTAATATCTTTAAAACAAACAGTAAGTCATGGTACTGACAATATTTTGTTTAATTTAACTTTGCCATATATTTGCATGTATTTCTATAAAACATTCCTTATTTTAAACTAAAAAATATATATAAAATATAAGAAATAAGAATTAAAAAAGTAAATGCTATACAAATTCACTAAGGAATAAATCTGAATATTTTTATATCAACTCCTTATTTGTATATTTGAACAATAAAGGACTTAAGACCATGTATAGCTACATTTGAAGCAATAAAAAAGGTAAATTTTAAGTAGCTGTAAATTTTATTTTATCAAATCAGATCTTTTCATATTTACCAAAAATAAATTATTTCCTTTTTCTAAAAGAAGAATCCTCTTCCTAATGGATTATGTAGGCCATAGGCTGGAGTTGCCTTTGACATCTCTATTTAAACTGAACTTCCTTGCTCATATACCTCATTTGGACCTTAAAACTTTTCTAGACGCCCCTTGATTTCAACCTTGCTAATACACTAGCAAGGGTCACTCTCAACATTTTTTGTCTCTCCCCTGAGATTGAAGACATTTAGATTATGCAAACCATTCTAATTAAAAATTCATCCACTCTAACTGGCCCTTGACACTGTACCCAGCAGCAGTTCCAGATCTCATTCTCGCTCCTTAAGCCTCTTAACTATCAATCTCAACAGAAGATCTTATCTCCAACTTCTCTTAGGAAAAAAAGACCATTCTGAATTTGCCTTGGCCATATCTTTTAACACATCTCCATCTTTATACCTACCAAATCATCTTTCCTTTTTGCCTCAGAAAAAGCTGTATCTTCTTGCAGAAAGTAATTTCGCCATGTGTTTGATGAACCTATTCTTTCTTCACTAGCTTCAATATCTCCCCTCATTAAGTTTGTCCCTTTTTTTTTCAAATATGCTTTTCCTATCTTGAAAATACATCTTCACTTTAAAAGCTGGTATTAGAAAACAGGTAGTCTTACTCTAGAGCTCTTGATTTTATCCAACATTTTACATAGCTGTATATGAAATCTAGATGGAGATTCTTTCTTCTCTTCCTCTCCATATTTTTATTCAGAAAGTATACTCTCATAGAGGCTTTAAAATATATGAAGGCAAAGAGCTGAAAGAAAGGCATTCTTTCAGACTAAACATCCAGAAAGAGTCTACCTGCACTTGATATTTTGCCTGCAAGGTGGCATCATTGAGCCTTCCTTCCATCAGCTCACCCAGAAATACAGCTGAGACAAGAGGATCTGCCTGCATTCCCCTGCTGTCAGCTGCCACAAGAAGTGTGGCCAAACCATCAACCTGTGCCCCAAGAAAGTCAAATAAGGCCTCTTCGCTACCTCCTCCTTCCCCTGCTAGGCAGCCTCCTGCCCAAGTCCCATGGTCCTGAGGCCTCAATAAAGTTTCCCTTTCATTGACTGGGAAAAAAAAGAAAGTATAGTTTTTAAGTTCTCCCCTTTGACTTCTTTTATCACTACTAATGATTTTCAAACCTGAATAGGTATTCCCTACCTCTGAGCAGCTACCATACCCAGACTTTGACTTACATAAACTCTACCCACTCATCTGCATGAAGCCTTTCCATATGTTTACATTACTCCATTATATTGGTCAGTTATAGAACATATTTTGCCACTCACGGAATCATTCTTGATTACTTAGCAAGCACATGGAGTAAGAAGACAAATATTCCTCTGAAGGATCTTTATAAGATAATATATGCTGCATATCATATGTATACACCTCTAAAGAAAGTAAAATTTAGGGATGAGAAGTGAATTTCTCACATTCATTCATTCATAAATTGAATTAACATATAGCTACCAAATGTCCACTCTGTTCCAGACTTAATACTAAGGCACTGGAGAGCCAAAGTATATAGGGCTCTGAGGACCTAATGGTTTGAATTTTACTGTAAGTGCTATTTAAAAAACACACACACATATTGAAGAGTTTTAAGCAAGGCAGTGACATAATCTGATGCCCATTTTTAAAAGACCATTCAAGTTGCTGTATAGAAAAAGGATTTTAGGGAGGCAGAAATGGAAGCATAATTAGGGCAGTAGTAGTGGAGATGGAAAGAAGTGGCTGAACTTGATGTATATTCTGGAGGTAGTACCTGTAGAATTTGCTAATGGACTAGATTCAGGAGAGTAGGAAAAGGAAGAAAAAAGCAGGAGTAAAAGCTAAGGTTATTAACCTACACACTACTACTTAAAGCTATTCCAATATCTTGTTAACTGAATAGACAAAAAAAAAAAAGGTGGTAGTGAACCCAGGAATCATTATTTTCTAGACTTTATAGAAAATCTTTCCAAGTGTCAGAGACTAATACATCTAGCTTGAAGAGGCAAAAGAGCAGTAATGAATTCTCTCATAATCCTATATTGTTCCACAGAAACATAAACTTATTTTAACAGAATTGATTCTTGACGTGAAAAAGAAATCTCACCGCACAAACAGCTGACTGTTAGAATTCTCTATTTTTTAAATCAGACACTGCTGAACACCTACACAACATGTATTTACCCTGTCTTCCTTAGTAATTGAATTCAAATTTTGTTCGGGTATGCAGTCCTCCCCCTATGACTCAGGAGAAGCCAATTGCATTCCCACTTTCAAGAGCAGATCCTAATTGGACTAGTACTGCTGCTTAAAGCAGCCAGTTAGCAAACTTTTGTTACAGTCTAAGAGACAAATATGTTAACCAATTCACTGCTTAACTGAGAAGGTCTACCAAAAAATTCACATGAACTAAACCCTCTGTTTGGGGACACAGTTGATTTACATTTAGGCACAAGCTCCTTGTCTTGTGCCCTGTAACAAACAGCCCAGGGACTGACACCAGTCCAAGGATTCCATATGAGTAGAACTGATCTAATACATTCAGCAACATGGCACATAGCACTGATGACTGTGGTAGTACGAGATAGGCAGGTGAGCCAAATCAGTCCAAAAGAAAAATTCACATTGCATGCTTGGGAAGAGGGTTTTCCCCTCACCCCCTCTCCTAATGGACATGAATAAGAAATCACTTAATCTTAACTGCCCGTGGCAACAATCTTAAAAGGCACCAGCCTTAGGATAAAGCTGATGCTTCCAGCAGAGGTAAGACATGTAAAGAACCAGAGCCATGGTGATATCACTGGAGCTGATGACTATACTGTGCTAATAGCTCTTTCTTCCAATTATGGAACAGTTAATTTCCTTTCTTTAATAAAGCCAGCTTAAAGAAGAATTTTCTGTTTCTTGCAACCCAAAACATCCTGATGTAACAAGTAAAAATATTGGAAATATAGATTCAAATGACTGAGATAAACTAGTTATTTCAAAAAGCTAGTATGATTAGAGAATTTGTTTTCAGAGTATTTTTTTCTACCCAAATAATGGATCTTTTCTTTTTTCCCAAATGACATCATACTCATTTGTCAAATGGAAAATATGAAAGTGGTGGCAAGTAGGAGTGGGAGGCACAGAGTTTCATCCATTTAGTTTTCCCTCTGTATACTCCAAAGTATGTATATACATATCACCCCATCCCATATGGAAACCCATTAAGCATCTCTTCAGAACCCTATAGTTCTATAAAACACAGGGTGAAAAGCTACTTCTTTAAAATATATTCCAACCATAGGAAGTTGCTATTATAAAAAAAACACATGCCTTTCATTTGCAGATTTGGCCTTCCACAATTTATTGAGCATTGACTGTATCTCTGACATATTGCTAAAACCTCAGTAACCTTCTCTTTCATTTATTCAACAAATACACCAGAAGACCCTTGTAAAAAACTGTTTAAAGGGATCTCTTTGCTTTCTTTGGAGCTCTTCCATGAGATCAAACTGCATTATAAACTTATAATGATCCTATTAGGAGAAAAAAATTTTAAAAAGTAATTATTACCCAAATGAGTTATGGTCATACAAATTTTTGAAAATAAGATGAATGTAGCCCATAAGGGATGCTAGACCACAACACATCAAGCTAGTTCTATAAATTCAAATCGTCCAACAATATACCTTCCTTTTCTTACAATATCAATTTCCACAAATCCTCTAAAAGTATACACAACTTGAGAAGTTTTTAAAACCTAAGGATATTTGTTTATAGGACACTTTTTTTAAATAAAATGCTTTATAATTGCAAATGATAAATTTTCCACACAAGGAATCAAGTAAAAGACTAGAATATCTTCCTTAACTGGAAAGCACCAACTGTATATCAATAAATCGAAGAGACCATCTACTAAGATGCACAATTTATTTAAAGTACTATTAAGAAAAAAAAAGAAAGCTACCAAATAAACTGTGATATTTTACCAATGCTAAGATAAATCTCAAATTCAGAGATGGCAAAATAGGAAAAAAGTCTTAAAATTGATGAAATACAGAAATAATATGGATATGAAACTTAGTGAACAGAAAAAGTAGAAAGAGTGAAAGAGTATTCTTTTGATTCTCAGGAAGTGTAAGTGGACTAACTCTGTCCCATTGTTCAAAATCAAATTGATATTCTACAAGACAAAAACTGGTCTACTCACCCTTCAGCATCAGGGTCTAAAATGACAGCGAGCTCTGTTAACACAAGTCCTGCCAAATAATGCTGTTGGCGGAAAGGCACAGACAATTCAAACATATTTGCAATCTTCTGGTCTTGTACATTTGTGGAAAATCCAGAACTCTGTTGGGGAGTGAGGTAGAACAAAATTATATCAGCTGTGCAACAAAATATCCTACAGAGCATTACAAGTGAAATGTAAGTATTATTTTAAAACGAGATAAAATTTACCTATGGTAGTTTATTTTATATTACTATTATTAATATTGGAACAAGTAATACTCATAATTTTGGTAAAGAAAACTATAATAAAATTACTTTAGTGATTTGATCACTTTATTACTGAAATAAATTAGTATTAGGTCATTAAATATGAAATGTCTGATTTCTAATCAAAAGTTTAGTTTATTGTATCTCAAACAAGGAGTACAGTTAATCGAAGTATGTGCCTCAACTATGGACACAGTTTTGCCATTTTAACAGTAGCTTATTTATGCCAGTAGCGCAAAAGCCCAGAGAGAAAGTGACAATGAAATCATAAAAGGTGTTTTCCAGAGCTTGTTGAGAACTGAATATTTTTCCTTGCAAGAAGTGGTCGAAATCTTGGAAGTAGTGGTAGTTGGTGCAAGGTCTGGTGAATATGGTGAATAACAGAGCATTTCCAAGTCCAGCCTGTGTAGTTTGAACAGTATTATTTCTGCAACATGTGGTCAAGCACCGTCCTGCAAGAGGACTGGCCTGTCTCTCTTGACCAATCTCAACTGCTTAATCACAAGCATCCTCATCATTTCGTCCAGTTGGTTGCAGTAGACATCCGCTGTAATTGACCGACCAGGTTTCATGAAGCCATAGTGGATAATACCAGCACTGAACCACGAAACAGACATCATCAGCTTTTCTTGATGAATATTTGGTTTTGGACTGTGTTTTGGCACTTCATGTTTATCTAGCCATTGTGCTGAATGCTTGTCATTGTCAAAAAGAAGCCATTTTTCATCACACATAACAGTATGATGTAGAAATGGTTCACCTTTATGTCATGACAGAAAAGGTAAGCTTCAAGATTATTTCTCTTTGGATGCTCATTTAATTCAGGCAGTACCTATCTATCCAGCTTCTTTACCTTGCCAAGTTGTTTCAAATGGCCCGACATTGTTGGAATAGTAACGTCAAACCTTGCTGCTAATTCACAGGTAGGTTGAGATGGATTCACTTCCACCACAGCTTTCAATTTATCATTATCCACCTTGGTCTCAGGTCACCCATGTGGCTCATTTTCAAGATTAAAATCACCAGAATAGAACTTTTCAAACCATTGATATACTGTGCATTCATTAGCCACCTCTTTCCCAAAAACTTTGTTGATATCTTGAGCTGTCTAAGCTGTACTGGTTCCACGACAGAACTCATATTCAAAAATAACACGAATTTTTGACTCTCTGTGATTTCACAAAAATTGCTTAAAGAAATGTAAAAGAAAATCACAAGGCCAAATGTGCATTTGAAAGACTGAGGATGTACTTTCACAATATACATAAAACAAGAAGTGTCAAAGTGAAATGTCAGAGATATCAACTGTCAAACTTAGTACTTAAGGAAATCAGACATTTTCATACTTAATAACCTTAATTAATTAATGGAAACCAATTAGTCTCAATTTCCTTTTTCTCAAATCGAAACCTTTCCATGATTTATCCTCATTCTTTCAGCCACTTAATGCTTCAATATCATCCTCTGAAAGAAGAAAAGGCAACTAAATCCAAATGATATAGTATGTACTCACCATAGATTATAAGAGAAATATTCATAGTCAAGGCTATTGTTATGCAGAGAAATTCTATACACTAGTAGAACTATTTTCCAGAAAACATACTACCTCTGGAACATTACTATCATTTTGTGGTCTGCTGAGTTTAAAAAGTTTTAATACTGCAAAAAAGTATCCCCCCAAATATATTCCATATTCAGGAACACCCAAGTGAGATTTCTTAGAAGAAGAACAGATTTAAGATTTCTTTTTCTTTTTGAGACAGAGTCTTGCTCTGTTGCTCCGGCTAGAGTGCCGTGGTGTCAGCCTAGCTCACAGCAACCTCAAACTCCTGGGCTCAAACAATCCTCCTGCCTCAGCCTCCCTAGTGGCTGGGACTACAGGTATGCGCCACCACACCCGGCTCAAATTTCAGATTTCTCTATGGAGAAATCATCTTCCTTATAAGTATAGTATATAATATTTTTCCTGGACCTTCCCCAAAAGAGTGATGTCTCTATTCTGTATTAGAATCTGAAAATTATGTAATTAGATGAGAAAGTGGACAATAACATAATAGAAGAAATTCTACGAGAATTTCCTGGCTGAATGGGATGTTCAGTAAGGAGTGAGATGTAAACAAATGTGCTTCATTTAAGGTTTTAGGAACTGTACCTATGATTAATTTGTCCCTAACTATGTAGTCACATCTTTGGCAGAAGGTATGGAAAGAAAGAAAAAGATCAGCCTTATCCATTATAGGAAATGTATGTTAGCCACTCTGTGGAAATAGGCTGATTCAGATTTTTTGCAAAGAAAAAATGAAAAGTTGTGGTTACTCTCTGATGTTTTCTAGTCTTTCTAAGTGTAGTTTAAATTTTTCCTCTATCAAGCATATGAGATTGATCTACGCTAGGGAATTCTATTCGGGAATTACATATCTTGAAAAACAAAATTAAGAGCTTAAGATCAACTTTGACTTTGGACATTAAGAGCTTAAGGAAGTAGCCTGATTGCCTTAGAAATAACATAGTAGAAAAAGTGTGTAAGTGGAAGAAGGAAAAACCAAGCTTCTTTGATACTAAAATCATAAAATACTTTAAACTTGACCTATGTGAGAGGATATACATATTAATTGCTAAAATAACACATTTTCATCTTCAGATAAACTACTAGGTGCTGAAGTCAAGTGCTACCCACTTAAAATCTACAAATGTTCATCTAGTTTCCTTTGGGGTTTTTGGATAAAAGAGAATTAGGCAGGGCTTTGTAATGCCTGCAATGCAGTTTGATTTCTTTCTCTGCTCATCTATGCTTCATCCCCCTTCCCTTCACAGGTATTGATCACCAAAAAACCTCTTATATCTGAGACTCATTCTCAGTGTCTGCTTCAAGAGAGCCCAATTTGTGAAAACATCTAAATAATTAGTTTATTTAGGTGAATTCATTCACCTGCACATAAATATATGAAAGGAGTACAACATAGTGGTTAAGAACTTGGGCTTCAGATTAAAGCTTTGGTTCAAAGCCTGATTCTGCCACTTTTTGCTCAGTGATGTGTGTTTCTGTTTTTTCATCTATAAAATGGATATAATAACAGAACATACCTCCTAGAATTATTTTGAGGATTACATCAGTTAATACTTATAAAGAACTTAGAACTGAGCCTATCATACAGCTATTACTCAATAAGTATTAGTTATAAATTTGTATGTTCATGCACTTTGCATACCTGAGATGTCGCAGAAGAAACAGAAGGTGATGGAGATGCAGGTGGAGTAAGTAAGCTACACGGTAAGTTTAATGTAACATAGTGCTCATGGCTGCAGATGATTCGTAGAAAATCCAGCCTCAAGGACACCAGGACACTTGGATTTGGTAACGAATAAAGCTTTGAAGACACCTTGTAAATATTACATAAATAAGAGGACACCAGTTGAACATATTATTTCTCTAATACTAACACCAGAATTATAGATTAAAGAATTAAAGATTAGTACTCAAGGGCAATCTTAGGTTTTGTGGTTCAAATAAGTTTGATTCAGCTTTTTCCAGAGTTCGGACTAAAATTAAAAATTTGGAACTTTTAAGGTTTACTGTATAAATTCATTTGACTAACCTAAAGCCATATTCTTATACTTCCAATAAAGTATTAATATTTCTACTTCTCAAAAATGGACTTTATGAGAAGGCATGCCACCATGATAACGTCATATTACTTCTTAAAAAGAAATTATCCATTCTTTTCATAGCATTTTTTGATTACCTGTATTTATAGTTATCTATTTGTCTATTTTCCCAGTTACATCATAAGCTTCTTGAGGAGACATACTATAAACTAACTTACTAGCTTTAGTATTCCTAGGGCTTACCCCAATGTTTAGCAAATATAGGGGGGCAGTGCTTAAAGAATAAAAACAGTTTTGGTAGCAATTGTACATAACATTTTGGGGGGAAAGTAAAACTAATAACATATAAGTGTTGCAAATATTTGCAAGTATTGCAAATATTTGCAACTATGCCAATGCATAGTTTTAACTTTTCTGACTATTAAAAGAAACAAATATCCAATAAAACAGATCTTCAACATTCTAAGTATTAGACAACCGAATAGAATTCTTGACCATTAGTTCCCCAAAACTAATCTGTGGACCCCTGGGAAGTGTTTCACAAGCACTGTGTACTCCTCATCCCTACCACCAGGATTCAAACTGCTCAATAACTCTGAGATGAGACCCAGAGATTTGTATAATTTTCAAGCTCCTCTAAAAGGAATAAAACAAAATCAGCTATTTGTAGAAAAGTTCTTTTTTGTCAAGGTAAGATAATGAATGACATTTGGGACTTGGGTAAACATCTGTCCATAATTCTAAATTCTACAATGTTCAGGGATGCATTAGGAGGAATACATAGCAAAATGCAATTGCTTTAAAAATCACTCAAGATATAAAAGTTCAGTTGGCTGTTCATTCAGTATAAATGCTACACTTGCATGGCATCTCGAGGCTGCTTTACATTGACATTACTATTAACTTAATGGTGTGTTCCAAAATGGAAATTAAAGAGTCATGACTGGGCCAGTACAATGCAAGGAAAGCTGGCTATACTGCTATCAGCTTGCCATAGTACTTGTGTCCTGATAAAACAAATGTAATTTATTTTTGCATTACAAATAAAAATGTTACTTTATGCTACTTTTTGTTTTACCATCAGTATATTAATGTGCTCTTCAAGGTCTCTTAGCTCCAGCCCTGAAAAGAACAAACACAGTATTTAAATTATTTGATTACTAATTATTACCAATTATGTATTACCTGTTTATAGCAGGACTTTATTAGGCTAAAAACAAATCCTCTGTCCATAACAGACAACAGATCATTGAGAAAGAATGCAAGGCTTGTATTGAGTCTTTCAACCATTTCTGTGTCCTGGGAAACAGAATATAAAGCAAAACAAATAAAAGTATTATAGTTTAATCTGAGCTTGAAAGGGAGATAAGTGAAAAGAAAAAGTTATCAATACCTTCTGAAATCGTGAAACTATATCACTAGCAATCGTGCTGACAAGAGCAGCAATGTCATCCATGAAACGTTCTGGAAAACGACTTTTCCTTGGAGCATCAAGTTTATCATTAAAGTATAAATGGTGTACCATGCTCTTTACCTGAAAAAAGATATAAGCCATTAGTGTAATTTCTTATAGATATAATTAACAATTACAATGATTCTATAAACACTTGGGCTAGTTTTAAAATGTGATTTAATAGATTACTAAAATATCTTTAGCTTCTCAAAATATTTCAAAAAAGTGTCCTACAATATTTTGTATGTGCCAAGGAAATATCAACCACAATAGAACTCAATTACTACATCACAATCAGATCTATCCTGCCTAATGATAGGGGGAAAATTCTGTGTATGTCAAAAGAAAAAAATTTCACCTTTAAAAAATTTTTTAATTAAATTTTTCTAAGACTCAATAATTTTGCCATTCCATATCCCCCAAACTATAAGCTTTAAGAGATCTTCACTGTAGTGTCTTCAACATTTAGCATATAGTTTCATATGGTGGGTATATAATAAATATTTGATGACTAAAAATGAATAATAAAATATTAATTAAATATTAACACAGTGATTTAAGTTTATGAAATGCTTTTAGAAGTAGATTCGTTACGACAATAATGTGATAATGGTAAAAAGAATTTTAGACTTTAAATTCAGGGAAATTGAAGATAAGGTTCCATACTTAGTATACAGCTCAGCCAAGTCTTGAATTGCAATTTTTTGACTATTTAAGAAATCTGAACATATATATGACTATAAAAAACTAAGTCAAAGTTACAGTTCTTATCTTATAATAAAAACACATGAATTACAAATTTAGTGTTTATTTTCTATGGAAAAAATGAGTTGTCTGTCACTTATATATGGTCTCTGATTTATTCTTTCTGTAGACTATTAAATCTCTAGAATAAATATTTTCTATCCCCAATATAGGTAACATTCAATGCTGAGAATCACCCTATGCCATACTCTGGAAGCTCCCTTTGTTTCTTTCATTTCTTCTTTTCTCTTTTTTTTGTTGCTGTTCTTTTTTTTCCATTGTTTCTTATTTATTTTTTACATACTCCTTTTTTGGAAGAAAAAGTTTTAGTGATTTCATCTTTCTACAGGCTGAAGAAGAAGGTGAAGAGGAAGGTCCCAAGTGCTAGAATGCCTAGGTTTGAAACACAGTTCTGCTACTTATAAGCTGTTTAGACTAAGACAAGTTAGTCAACCTCTTTGTGCCTTGTTAATACCTAGCCCACAGGGCAGTACTAGCACACTGTCACCACTTGATAATGTTGTTGCCTTTGTTTATGTACATGTGTGTGTATACATATATACACACACACACATATACATATACATGCTTATATATATAGTTAACCCTTGAACAGCACAGGTTTGAATCACATGGATCCTCTTATACAAGGATTTTCTTCTACCTCTGCCACCCCTGAGACAGCAAGACCAATCCCTCCTCTTTTTGCTCCTCCTCAGCCTATTCAATGAGGATAAAAACTTATGATGATCCACTTCTACTTAATGAACAGTGAATATTTTTCTCTTCCTTATGATTTTCTTTTTTTTGTTGTTTGTTTGTTTGTTTGTTTGTTTTGAGACAGAGTCTCACTTTGTTGCCCAGGCTAGAGTGAGTGCTGTGGCATCAGCCTAGCTCACAGCAACCTCAAACTCCTGGGCTCAAGCAATCCTGCTGCTTCAGTCTCCCGAGTAACTGAGACTATAGGCATGCACCACCATGCCCGGCTAATTTTTTCTATACATATTAGTTGGCCAATTAATTTCTTTCTATTTATGGTAGAGACAGGATCTCGCTCTTGCTCAGGCTGGTTTCGAACTCTTGACCTTGAGCAATCCACCCGCCTCGGCCTCCCAGAATGCTAGGATTACAGGCGTGAGCCACCACGCCTGGCCCCTTATGATTTTCTTAATAACATATTCTTTTCTCTAGCTTATTATATTGTAAGAATACAGTTTATAATACATATTACACATAAAATGTTGGTTAACTGTTTATATTGACAGAAAGGCTTCTGGTCATGAATAGGCTATTGGTAGTTAAGTTTTTGGGGGGGTCAAAAGTAATATGTGAATTTTCAACCACAAGTTGACACTTGTGGTTAGAGGCACTCTTGTCAGTGCCTCTAACCCCTGTATTGTTCAAGGGTCAAATGTATATATCTATTTATTAATTAAAATATTAATTTATTTTTACTATCATTTATTGAATTAAGCAAAAACTACTGTTGGTTTTTTATTGGCTGTAACTGGCATTTCCCTAAGAGCTTTCTAGCCATAATTATAGCAGTTGGTATCTATAAAGCTCTTTTTATCTTTGGTATAAAATCTATAGTACTGCCATTGTACATTTGCATTTTCAGACTAGGAAAGAATGTATCACCAATTTCCTTTAAAAAGACAGCTAGCTTCTGCAACCAGCCCTGAAAAAATAGAGCTAAATTGAGCCTCACAACTTTATAATTCCACCTAAATTGGGCTGAGTGTCCACAGTGTTTATTTACAGATGAAACGTGTAATTTTGTCTTAGAGGCATATGTAAAACTGTAAGATGTGCAACAGAAAAAGATTTCTAAGATAAAAATTGAGCTAACACAAAATTCTTCACTAAGGGAAAAAAACTTTTAAAGAATGTGCTTAGTTTGCTCACCATTAACTCAAAAAAGAACCAGGCTTGTTGCAAAGCTGATTCCCGAACGCTGCCACTGCAAACAACCCACTGCAAAGCCAGCTCCTCATGAAAAAGCTATCCAGAAGTAAATCCAAAGTTATTATCAAAGTCAAATATGTTGATAACATAAACCAAATAATAATGCAAATACAAATGAAGATATAATGAGAGTAAGCAAAATAAGGCATGTGAACCATTCAATGATGCAGTGAAGACACCCATTAACGAAACGGCTATTTATGCATGTAAGACAGTGGTATGCTGAACAGCTGAAAAAATTACATGTTATCTTGGAGTAAAATGTAATTTTAAAAGGACAGGTAAAAAATAGCCTCCTAAATTGTACCTGCAAACAAAAACTAGACCAAAAACTTACAATAAGATCTTGGCTTGTGCCTTAAATATATATTTTAACATATGCAAATATGCTCATGAACTTTGCGGGTACAATTTAGAAAATACATTTAAAAATTTAAACTTTGCTATAAGCCATTAATTTTCAAGTTTTCAGGTAAAGTCTTTTAAAGAAAAAAATTGCAGAAAAGTCCTGCCTTATAATGGATATGCATACAAAGCATTTGCAAAGTAGTGTATATTAATATGAAAAAGGACTAACAAAACTGTGCATAAGGGAAGCAAATCAACATATCTTACTAAGAATTTTTCTAACTCATCTTCCTTTCCCTGGAGATTTAAAACACAAAACAGAAGCAGTTACCGAAACAGAATTAAGAGTCGATACATTTTTTTGGTACTAAAATTTTATGACCAAATTCGAATTTACTAAACTCTAAAAATAGTCAATCCCAAAGAAATAAACATTATCAAAATGTAAAAGGGCCTACACTGGAAAGGCATCAGAAAAGCAATGCTTGCTCAGATTTTTTTTGGAGACAAAGTCTTGCTCTGTTGCCTGGGCTATAGTACAGGGGCATCAATCATCATAGCTCACTGTGACCTCAAACTCCTAGGCTCAAGCGATCCTCCTACCTCAGTTTCCTAGGTACCTGGGACTACAGAAGTGTGCCACCATGCCCAGCTAATTTTTCTATTTTTAGTAGAGATGGGGGTCTCGTTCTTGCTCAGGCTGGTATCGAACTCCTGACCTCAAGGGATCCTCCCACCTTGGCCTCCCAGAGTGCTAGGATTATAGGTGTAAGCCATCACACCAGCCTCAGATGTATTTTTAAACACAATGCAATTATTATACTATCTCATACTGGTTATGCAAAGAAATCCTGTATCTATTTTATTGTTGAAATTATTTTCCCCCTCTTTGCATTGTCTTCATATGAATCTACCTTTTTAGTTGGTAAGCGTCCCGTTAATGTTTGTAAGAAACTTGACGTCTCTGTGTGCGAAGACATACGATTACAACTTCGATCCATAGCCTATGGAGTGAAGATGAATGAATGACGAGATAACATTAACATCTGCAGTGGATGACTTTGCAACTCAAGGACTATGTATGATTTTAGAATAGAGTTTTATTGTGGTTTCAAAAACCATCTATTTTACTGTTCATCTCATTTTCACCATTTTAAGCTACTTTAATGACAATGCATTAGAAGTATCAAAATGACTTCTATATGATTTTAGTCTTTAAAAAGATGAGTATTTCAATGATTTTTTAATATTTAGAGTGCTGCAAAGAATGAAACTTTTATATGTGTGATCTATACACATGCACATATCTAGTAAGAATATATAAAAATAAAAACATACTTCTCAACTGGTCTCATACCAAAAGAGAAATCAATAATTTTGTACTCAATAAAGAAAATAAAAAGTTCAGAATGATTTCTTTGACTTTTTCCCTATTATCAAAAACCACTTTTCAGGTTTGCCATATACTATATCAAATATAAATAATTTATAATATTAGATACAGAATTAAAATTTTTCTTCAAGAACAGAATTTTCATCCAAAGCCAACACACAGATGAGAAGTATATTTTGAGGTATCATGCAGTATTAGCTATCAAGCAACTAGTCTTAAGTAAGCAAAATCTAATTTCATACTTTGCAACACAGTACAAATTAAAATGGACTTTTATTTCTGGAATTTAATCTTATACCATAGGGTCATACATTGTTCACATTTAATTTCAACTTATTACCAGTCTTCTATTCAGTGATTATGAAGAAAATGACAAGATAATAAATGCTAAATAAAAATGGTACAAGAGCTACACTTGAAACCAAAAGCAAATGGAAAACTGTTGGGTTTTTTTCCACATAAAAAATTTTAAAATTCCTATTAAAGATGTGCTACTCCTAAAGAAGAAACTGTTAAAAAGCTATTAAGTGCATAAGCAGCAGGCACTGAAATACTAATAAGGTGTATACGGAGGGAAGGAGGAGGTGACAGGAAATAGGAAAGAAGAGCATTACTGGTACATTTGGTGGTATTCATGCATAGTAGTTGGAAAATGTGCTAAGTAAACAAAAATACACACTTGGAAGCAAGTCACTGAAATCATAGTATATACTAAAAAGTAATGGTCTAAAGGGAAACATCAGCAGCCAATAAAGAAACCTCTAATGTAAACACCACCTGTGTTGATTCTGCACTTGGACTGGGGTTGGATCCCCATGGGGCAGCTTTTGGACCACCAGTGTTAACCCAGGAATTGGAGCGATCTAAACCCTAAGCATATAATAGAAAGCAGTTGGAAAGGAAAGAAATATTACATGTTGCATGCTATAAATTATACTTAAAGAAATCCAGACCTTCCAATGCAAACATGTTTTTAATTAGTACTGTTAAAGCAACCAACATTTTTAGGCACTTATAGAGTATTAGTTCACCGAAATTATCTTATTAAATAACATAATTTTTTTAAAAAATCACCAAGAACATTAAGTATAGAATTTAAAGGTAATTTTTTTTATGTAAAATCCCCCTTGAAGTACCAACAACTAAAGTTCCCACAGCACCACACTCCAGACTCTCTTTAACCACTCCGGTACCAGCGTTGACTATAGTCAACAGTCACAGATGAACACGCACAGCGACTTTAGCCAACAGCCGTGATATGAAGGCGCACAGCTGAGCATCAACTTTAGCCGACAGCCGTGATATGACTTTTCTAAATTTTCATTTGTCAAAATAAAATTGTGAACATTTAAAAATAACGTAATGAAAACATATATGTATATGTTACCTATTCTGATTTACATTACAAGTAAAGCTGCCTGTAAAGTAAAACAAGCTTTCAGTGCTTTAAAGCTTTCCTCATCACACAACAGCAAAACTGATTCGTCATCAATACACAGCACAAACTATCGTGCAGACTATGAGTGCTGGCTGTGGGCAAGGTTTTGCAGCCGGTGAGCGCCGTACCGAAGTGGTTTTAAAGATAGTACAAGTTAGCAACAGATAGTTTCCTCTGTATCTAACTGAGGTTTAAAGGAAAAAATGGAAGAAAAACATTCAATTCTTTGCTGAAAGACTTTAATTTCATTCCATCTGTCATCAACTGAAAACTACCATGCAGTGGTATTCATAATTCTATTTGACCTAGCCTCCTCTTTTATTCCCTTTTAGAGACAGAGAGGAAAAATTAAGTAAAAATTTAAGAAAAAAATAATACCTAATATTTGCTCCTTCCTAATAAAGATAGTAGATATGGGCCTATGTTCAGTTTTATTGTACTTGTAATTAAACATAATGGCTACTATTTTATATAAATATTATAAGGAAAAACATTATGCTGGGGCTGTCTATAGGAATTATATCTTCACCATCACCTTCATCAATTTAAAGTTTCTTTAATATGTTGCTAATATATATAAGCAGAAGTGAATTAGGTATGTCTTTCTCTGAAAAGGGTTACTATGATTCTAGGTGAAGGGAACAGAGGCTTTACTTCTATTTCCTAAACCCGACTGAACATCAGAATCACTTGAGAAGCTTTATAAAAATTCAGATTCTGGGCCCTACCTCTAGAAATCCTGATTCAGAAATCTGGGATGGGAACCTAGGAATCTGCTAATTAGAATTGGAGCAAGTAGTAAAAGATTTTTAGAGGATTATTGGGTTAAGAATAACAAAGAAAACACAAGACAAGCTGACTAAGTATATCAGAGCATGAGTATGGACCCAAACCAGAAAGCACCAAAGGAAGTACAGGTAAAAAAGAAAAAAGCATTTGGTAACAAAAGCAATCAATTCTGTCTAGACAATAGTGTCACCTGGTAAGCCTAACAACACTAGCAACACAACAAATGTGCAGGGCCCCACCTTAAAACAATTAAATCAGTAATTGTTGTGAGTAAGGCCCTGACATTAGCATTTTTTAAATACTTCAAAAGTTTTAAAAAATAAATACTGTAAATCTCAAGGGATTAGGTTTTAGGGAGACTATTTCCTATGTTTTTTCCCCCAAAATATAAAGAAGTTGAAATGATGGTACAATAATTACCCATTTCTCCTCATTTTTGACACTGAATGTGTAAAATGGTAGTTAAGGTTTAAATCTCGGCTCTCTTGCTTAGTAATTGTAAAATCTAAGATAAATTACTTAATCACTTTTTCAGTTTCTTATGTATTAAATAGGAATAATGATAGTGTCTCCCTCATGTTGTAAGGATCACATTAAATAATGGAAGTAAATTACTAAGTGCAATGTCTCAAATATATTAATACTAAACTCTCAAAAATCATTTTTTGTTTGTTTGCTTTTAGAGACAGTCTCACTCTCTTGTGCAGGCTGCAGTGGCCTGATCATAGCTCAATGCAACCCTCAACTCCTGGATTCAAGTGATACTCTTACCTCAGCCTCCCGAGTAGCTAGGACTATAGATGCACACCACCACACCTGGCTAATTTTCTTCCTTCCTTCCTTCCCTTCTTTTCCTCTTCCTCTTCCCCTTCCTTCCTTCCTTCCTTGCTTCCTTCCTTCCCCTCCCTCCCTCCCTCCCTTCCTTCCTTCTCCCTCCCTCTCTCTCTTTCACTCTCTCTCTCCTTCCTTCTTCCCTCCCTCCCTTCTTTCCTTTTTCTCTTTCTTTCTTTCTTTCTTTCTTTCTTTCTTTCTTTCTTTCTTTCTTTCTTTCTTTCTTTCTTTCTTTCTTTCTTTCTTTCTCTCTCTTTCTCTCTCTCTCTCTTTCTCTCTCTCTCTCTCTCTCTCTCTCTCTCTCTCTCTCTCTCTCTCTCTCTCTCTCTCTCTCTCTCTCTCTCTCTCTCTCTCTCTCTCTTCCTTCTTCCCTCCCTCCCTTCTTTCCTTTTTCTCTTTCTTTCTTTCTTTCTCTCCTCTCTCTCTTCTCTCTCCTCTCTCTATATTCTCTCTCTTCTCTCTCTCTTCTCTCTCCTCTCTCTCTTCTCTCTCTCTCTCTCTCTTACTTCTCTCTCTCTCTTTCTTTCTTTCTTTCTTTCTAGAGATGGGGTCTCACTATGTTGCCCAGACTAGTCATGGTTAGTCAAAAACTCCTGGCCTTAAGCAATCCTCTTGCCTTGGTCTCCCAAAGTGCTGAGATTAAAGGCATGAGCCTTTACTGAGTATCTGGCCCTCAAAAATAGAGTTTATAAAAACTTTTCATACATATTTTTCCTAAAATGCTTTCTAGAGAATTATACAATATCCAAATACTAGTAAAATTATATAGCCAGTTTGTTCAAAATAGAACACCTGCCTTCTCAGAACCCCATTACAATGTTTTAAATAAAAGTAAATCAACAGGCATTTGTTTTTCAGATCAGTTAAAACAAAATTTTCATTAGTCTCTAAAATTATGTTTCCAATCCTCTACTGCACAAGTGTAAAGTTCTTTCTGCCATATTCAATTTTTACAGTCATTATTCATGTTTTAAAATAACGAAACATAAGCATTTGATTTTTTCAAAATTATTACCATGCTCTTCTCTCCCATAAATTTCCACAAAAAGAATAACTTTGCTATACTCTTAAATTCACTTTGTAACTCATTGTTTAATAATTTCGTTTAAAACAAAGGTACATAATCAGTGAGAATAAGAAATAAATCTCACTGTGCTATTATATTTTGTATATACAATACTGATGTTCTGCACAGTTATAATAACATCAGTCACAGTGGATTATTTAAAGAAAACCTGTGGCCAAGTATTTTGTAAAGCAAATAACTTCTATAATTCAGATTTTATAAAGCTAAAAATTATATCAAATAGCTCGTAGTTAGCAAAGTCATCACTGATGTTTACTAACATAATAACTTTATGTTCACATAGAACAGATTAACCAAATGTGTGCACATGTGTATGTATGTATATATGATTTTTCTTGCAAAATCCCAGTAACATTATTAATTTTGTCCCTTAGATATAGATAAGCTCCTTTGCAAGGACCATATTGTAGATTTGACATCAACACTCATGTTATTACATACAAAGATCTGGTTTTATATCTATAAGTCCTCAGCATAGTGCCTAGCACAGACAGAATAAGTGCTGTGTTTGAGAAATAAATGAAAAAAATAGGAGGTGATATATGAGAAAGAAACTACATATCAGTGTAAAATTCCACCAGCATTTGATTAAAAGCAATAAAATTCAAATCTAATGTAACCATAAATTTATAGAATAGAATGTTAAAAGACTACTCCTAGGACTATAAAAACACAGATAGTTCTGGTGAAATAAATACGAAGAAAGTCCTCAAATATGTTTTTACAGCCTCTAGAATAATAAAAGCCTGTTTATATTACATAAATATTCTTGAATTTTAGGAGTTTTGTATTTTATATTAGGGAATGAAGTGTAACAAAAACTTTAATAAAGTCAAATCTCTGAAGATCTTTAAATATATAATTAATTCTGATAGTGAACAAAAGCATAATTCAAGTTTTAAAAAAGTAGTTTATTCTTTCTATGGTTACTTATACTAACATTCATTCATTGAATAAATATCTGTTGAGCACCTTCAATATGCTGGACACCATGGGTGCTTTAGAACAAACATCCCTGCCATCAGGAAACTTATACTCTGGTGAAGGGATATACACACTAAAAAAAAAAAAATCAACGTAATAAAAAACTAATTCACATGCTACTTTAAAAGGTTGTAAATGCTATGAGACAAAAAACAAAACAAAACAAAACAAACAAACAAAACAAAACAAAACATAGAATAAGGGGATTAGACGTCCCAGGGCCAAGGCAGGGGAGAAAGAGCCACTGGTTATACATTTAAATAAAATGGTCAGAGAATACTTCATGGGGAAGGTGGCCCTGTGAGTAAATACTTAAAGGAGTTGAGGTTGTTAAGTCATAGGAGGATCTTGCTCAGAAAAATGACATAATCTGACTTAATTTTTGTGTGTGTGTCTTACATTTTAAAAGCAACATTCTAGTTGCTATGCTGTGAACAGAGTGTAGGGTAGAAGCAGGGAAATCATCTTTAAGTCTATAAATTCAGGGAGAGATGATGGCAGCTCAGACCAAGGCAGTAGTACAGAGGTGGAAAGAATTGGCTCTACCTTTAACATATATCCAAATTTGAAAAAAAGGAATTAGAAAAAGCAGCTAAGTTTAGAATTCCAAAGAGAGATCTGTACTGGAAATATAATTTGGGGAGTCATTAGTATAACATTTATATAGTACTTAAAGCCATGGTAATAAGATCACCAAGTCAATGAGTATAGAGAGAAGACAAGAGGAGGTAAATAAGGACAGAGGACTGGAGCATTTCCAGATTAAGAGATGAGAAAAGGAGGAATCCACAAGACTGAAAATGTGTAACTAACTAAATTTTAAAGAGGAAAATCAAGAGAGTATAGTACCCCGGAAGCCAAATAAACAAACCAAGAAGAAAAAAGAATCTAACTACATCAAAGGCTGCTGGTAATTAAAGTAGGCAGAGTTCTGAAAATTATTAATAGCCACTGGATTTAGCAACAAGGAGGGCAGTGGCGACATTAACAAGGGCGGTTTTGGTGGAAGATGGGAGGAATATTTTATTGAAGTAAAGAGAAAAGGAGTAAAAGAAACAGTATATAAGTATAGAAAACCCCTTTAAGGAATTCTACTAAAAAGATAGCAGAGAATAGCAAAGAAGATAGCAGTGAAAATGAAAGCACTAGAAAGGACATTTTTTATATGAGAGAATAATAGAATGCCTGTACGTGGATGGGAATAATTCAGTATATAAGGAAAAATTGATGATACAAAAGAGGTAGGAAAGAACCGCTAGAGTGAGGATTTTGAGTAGTTGAGAGGGGATGAGAGTTTGTATACAGTGAAAGGAATGGATTTAGAAAAATAAATTGTTCATCTATAGCAGAGTATTAAATAGTAGAGAGTAGATGGTAGCAGATAGGTAGATAAAAGTCTCTGAAAGTTTTCTTCTGATTGCTTAGTTTTCTCAAAGAAGTAGGAGATAAGTAGTGAAGAGATAAGTAGTGAAAAGGAGGACAGAGGGAGAGGTATTTGGAGGTGTGAGGTAACAAAAGACATCATGAAATCGTTTCCTTGGCGAGAAGGATAGTAAAAAGAATATAGAAATATAGTATAATTGCTCGACAGCATTAAGGCTCTGTTGAGGTTCATTTCAAATGAGACCAGTCACCATGGTATTTCACAAGCCATATTCTGCTGCACAGGTGATAACATGGCATAGGCAGTCAATTGGGTTTAACTATGTTTTCAGGTTGGGAAGTATAAAGGGAACTGAGATATCATTATGATGGGAATAATTACAATGATTGATCACAAAGGCTGGCTAAGGAGGAAGAGAGAGCATTAAGACGATGAGGCACAATAAAAAGGTCACGGCATCAAGAGATTAGAGAAGTTACAGAGTAGAAAAATTATTGGAGTTGGGTTACTAAAGAGAAAAATAGGAGATAATAGAGAACATGTTGCATGGTTAAAGTTACTGGTAATGAAAAGATCTAAGGTATATCCACGGCTGAGGCACAATGGAAGATAAGATCACTGAAGCAGGAGAGTTTCCAGAATTGCAAAGCCAATAAAATAGGAATAAATGAAGAGTAGCTATAAATAAACTTCAGATTCTTTACAATTGTAAAATTATATATCATTATTATTAGATATTATGACTAAATGACAATCCAATATGAAAGTAGCTATCAAAATTTTGCAATAAAAAGAGAAAACATAAAAACTATATAAATAAAACTTGATAAGGACAAGGCTAAATTGTCATAAGACAAATTTTCAACTTGTGATGACTTTCTCAGAAATTAGTTTATATATATTTTAAAAATCATTATGCTCCACCTAATGAACTTCTTGAAAAAAAGCAAAAAAAAATCTTATATATATACTTCTTTGTTCTAAATTTTGAGGTTATATTCTACCAAATATGTTATATAAGAAATATGAGTGCTTAATATGAATGAACATCATTCATGTAAATTAATTAGAAGTTTCTGAAAGTAAAATTTCTATAACTATGAATTATATATATTTCTGTAACTCTAAGAACTATAAAAATAGTTTTGACATTTCTGATCAATGTTCAAGTATTTCACCTAACAAACAAACCAACTCAGATCTTTAAAAGTTCTATTATAGTTCAGACTAAGAGTTAAATATAGACCCTAGAGCATGTTTATTAATTCTTCATATACTAATAGACTAAAATCCCAAAGAAAAGTTGGCTATGGTTTTATAAGAATGGTATCTCCCTCCTCTCCAACAGCAAAAAATAAGTTTGAAATAGTTTGGCCAAAATACAACATAAAGTGAGTTCCCAGCCTCAGTCTTACTGTGCTTTCATCCAGCTTGCTTAAACTCTGAGTTATTTTTGTATTTTACACTTAGAAAAGTAATAACTACTCATGACTTAAGTATTTTGGGGGGTTAATAAAGATGGATGTTTTGAATAAAATACAACTAGATCTCATACTATCTGGCCTCTCTCCTTTGGTGTCTCGGAATCACTAACCATCATTAAGTAAGTCACTTTTCTAATCCTGGTGTACCTTACATAGAGTTTCATGTAAAATACAGATCTACTACCAATTAAGGTAAATAGCTGTTCTTGCTGTTTTTTGGAGAAAGTGGGGCTCATACTTGAAATCAGTGATGACATGTCTCTTCTACATACAGTCACATAGGTCTCCTTTAATTCTATAGGAGTCAATTTAGCCATTTTTCACACGATGGAGTATGAGACACAAAATAGTAAGTTATATGTAACTAGTCATCCTGTATAAATTTTAGAATTTGGCTTTTTTTTTTTTTTAGCAGAGTGCACAAACCAGTTTGCAATAGCAAGCATATTTGATAGAAGCATAAAACAGTGTTTACTAATAAAACAGAAATGGACAATTTCTCCCTTATTCCTAACTCACATACATATCAAAATTCAGAATAAGTAAAAGCAATTGGACATTTCTCATTTGTTCATAAAAGAAAACCAAATTTACAAACACACGTCTTCAGTTTACCTTATTGCCGATGATTGACCGAACTTCATCATCTGGTGACGTGGGAGTCCCAGATATATCTGGATTACTATTACTAAGGCTCCGAGAACGATTTAAATTAAGGCTTGCAGGTCTCACAGCAGATCTAGCCATTGTGGCATAATGCACTGATCCTCCCAAACCCCCAGGACCTAGAGATGCATTTAAAATAGCACATAATTAAACAAAGAAAATTAGTCAGGAAAGGACCTGAAAAAAATTTGTCATTTTACAAAATTCCCAAATATCATGAAGTACTTTTGTTTCTAAATGAAAAATGCATTTAAAAGAAAAGAAAAGCCGGGCACAGTGGCTCACGCCTATAATCCTAGCACTCTGGGAGGCCGAGGCGGGTGGATTGCTCGAGGTCAAGAGTTCGAAACCAGCCTGAGCAAGAGCGAGACCCCGTCTCTATCATAAATAGAAATTAATTGGCCAACTAATATGTATAGAAAAAATTAGCCGGGCATGGTGGCGCATGCTTGTAGTCCCAGCTACTTGGGAGGCTGAGGCAGAAGGATTGCTTGAGCCCAGGAGTTTGAGGTTGCTGTGAGCTAGGCTGCACCACGGCAATCACTCTAGCCTGGGCAACAAAGCGAGACTCTGTCTCAAAAAAAATAAAATAAAATAAAAAAATAAAAAAATAACACTCAAAAACTAATGATATAATGATAGCTACACAAAGATATTCTTTTTTATGGAAGTTTATAAAATCATATGAATTATAAATAAATAAAATCACTATGTCTTCAATACTTCTATGATTACATATTACATATAAAATAAAAAACAAAACTAAGTAAACACACACACGCACTGTCTTCACTTAGATATAGTTGTATCTAGGACCCAAAATGTTCCATCTGATGTTTCTTCCTTTTTTTCCCACCCCTTCTCCTCTGCCCGATACAGTCATTAGAGGAAGAGCCAATTTATCGCTAACTTTTCTTAAGTGAGACCATGCTTTATTTCTCTATCTTCATCAGTGACAATGTGAACAGCAAAACAACATCTTCATGATATACCTACAAAAAACTAAAAATAATTCTAAGAGCATAGCTATGTAAAAAAGCAAAGAATCTCTTTTTGTCTGACTAAAGTCAAGTATAATATCATCTTTCAACCATGTTCCATGAATACAAAAATATTCACCAATTATGTTCATAACCTATCTCCACTTTTTTATTTATAGAAATCTTTCTGAATGTCATATTTGCAAAGGATACATCTTATTAACTAATTTATACAATCTTACATGCTGTGTAAATTAAGTTAGTTAAAAAGATGTCTTACAAAATCTGTGGAATTCTAATAGTGTACTGAATGAAAGGGTAAATGGAGGAGCACTGTAGATATTCACTCAAACACTCAGATCTTCACGTTGTATAATATTAAAAATAAAGATAGGAATTACGAACCAGAATATAAGAGTCCGTTGCTTCTCTTTTTGCAATTAAGAAATGAAGTGGACTAAAACTTAAAGTCAGATTAATATTATACCTAGTTTTCATAATGAATATCATAATTATTTGTCCCCATTATCAAAGTTAACATTGCCAATAGCTGGAAAAGGATACTTACCATTATCACTAGAATAATACAGACAAATATCTGAGCAGGTTGAAAAGTATGCACAAAATAATCATTAGCTAACTGAACAACTTAAGGGTTATTCAAACTAAGACATTCCCCTCCCACATACATTGGAGATTGTATTTCTATCACTAATCTCATACAAAAGATAAATAACTACTTGGGGTTTCAATACTCAGAAAAGGCTATATTATTTTATCGATCATGAAGAGATCAGAACTTTTCTAGAGCAGCAGTCCCCAACCTTTTCAGCACCAGGTAACAGTTTCATGGAAGACAATTTTTCCACCGAGGGTGGCAGGGGACAATTTCAGGATAATTCAAGGGCACTACATTTATTCTGTAGTCAAACTTGTGTGCTAATGGTAATCTGTATTTGTAGCTGCTCCCCAGTGCTAGCATCGCCGCCTCAGCTCTGCCTCAGATCAGCAGGCATTAGAGTCTCATAACGAGTGTGTAACCTAGATCGCTTGCGTGTGCTCCTATCAGAATCTAATGTTGCTGCTCATCTGACAGGAGGCAGAGACAGAGCTTATGCAGTGATGCTGTAAATACAGATGATGCTTTCCTGGCTCACCCACTGCTCACCTCCGCTGTATGGTCTTGGTTCCTAAGAGAACATGGATCGGTACCAGTCTATAGCCCGGGGGTTGGGGATCACAGTCACAGTTGTAGAGAAAACTCTTTTTCATGATTGTAGATTTCATAGGGTTTTAAGGGAACTACTGAGCCACCACATTTCTTCTTCAATGCTCAGCAGCATTCTGAATGACAAATTTAAGTTTCTATTTATCTTAACAAGGAAAGATAAAATGCTTCCAGGGACACAAGAAGTTATCTTCCAAGAATGAATTCAACCAAGACCTCTAATTCAAATGAAAAGGAAGCTATGTAAATAACGATTCTTAAATATGTAATGTATTTATCCCTTTAACTCTAGCGCCTAGCACAGTGAATAGTGCTTAGCTGGCGTTCAATAAATGTTTGCTACTGAATGAATGGATCACACTATGTATACAAAATTATCTCAGTACTGTCATGAACAGACAACTAATGAAGGACAGTTTCATAGTAAGAAGAATAAAATACCTGGTGATGGTGAATTAGGGTAAGTATTGGGTAGGCGAAAAACATAATAGATATATGATGCAAGAAGGCTGTTTCTGCCATGCTGATCATGATTTCCTTCCAAGTTTTTATGAAGTCGATTTATAATAGATGCCATGGCTTCAAAAGATGCTTGACCTAGATTAACTTTTAAGAAGGAAAATACTTTTATTTTAACTTTTTTAGACTCTTTCCACAAAGATCAAAAGCATGTCATTTCTACATGCTTTAAGTATAGTGACTATACATAGTAGCTGTATAAAGATGGTTATTTGATGTTGATTTTAACAACATCTTGTATTAGCTAAACAAAAATACTTTTCTAAACAAAATGAGAAAAAATTATTTTTATTAATTTAACATGAAAATTGCATGAGTTTGATTAGTCAAAAAATAAAACACTACACAACAGATACCTATTATTTTGTAAAACAATACAAAGCACACAAGAAAAAAGAAATCTATCTTATGTAACCTCTTGAGAAGCAACTTCTCATTTTAAAGATGACTCTGAAAATCTAAATAGCATACAATGAGCACATATTACTTTTGTTTAAAAAATTAAAAATGTCAATAATAAAAATGGATTACTGAAAATATTAAGATGAGAAAAAGAAATGGTGAATAAGCAACTTGATTGAAATGAGTAAATTTGTAAAAGAATCAGAAGGGGAAAAGGGGCTGGAAAAACAGGTTGAGATAAGACTGTATATCATTAAATATTCTAAATGCCAGGTTAAGCAATACTTAGTCATTCAAGTCAGTACATAAGAATTTTTCAAGGGGAATTTTGATAGACTGCACACTGAATAAGTGGGTAAACTGAACAGCCATTTTCAGCAATAGAACCTCAGATTCTATGATTAATTTAATCAAGACAGGAAATTATGAACAGATAATGAGGCCAATTAAGTTTTCCTAAAAGTGGAATAATCAGATAAAACAGTCACTTAGAAAGATTAATCTATATATACTGAACTAGAAGGGAAAGAGACTAGAGACAGAAACCTGAGTGGAGTTTACCAATCCTACTTGTGTTCCTGGTTAACCTCATTTCTGTTATCTCATAATAACTATTTTGAATTATCAGAATTCTTCTTAAAACTTCGGCTCTCTTTACCCCCTTCCTAACAAATCTTGCCCCACAGAAGAAATATATAAAGCATTAAAGTGCTGAAGATTTTCCATAAATTTATCAGAATCCAAAACTACTTTTCTTTCTTTTCCAAAGGAAGTAGTGCCCCTCTCTCCTATATAAGAGTGATCTATCCAACCTTCACTCTTATCTCACGGACTTGCTTCATTAATCAAATCCTTTCTCACTCCATACCATATTTATCTCTCTTCTCCCAACTGGTTTCTCTCAGCAGGTAAAGACGCTCAAATCTCTGCATTTTTATGCCCTACTCATCCCTGCTTTCTCTTCTGACTAAACTTCTTAAAAGAGTTGTAGAAACTTCTTGTATTCCTTTCATTATCCACTGTTTATTCTTTAATTCCCTGTCTTCTGGTTTCTACCTTCACTTAGACTAAAACTATCTTCCTTAATACCACCAGTGGATACTTTCCAAATATAACCACTAAGAGAGAGAGAGTCTAGAGCTTGTTTGAATCTTGTCTGCCAAACTGAGTGACTTTAGGCAACATTTTTAAGAATTAATGTTCATTACTTTACTGATTCATGAAATTGTGGTCATAATGATACCACAATGATACTATATCAGGTTACTATGAGGATTTCTTTCTTTTTTTCTTTTTCTTTTTTTTTTTTTTGAGACAGAGCCTCACTCTGTTGCCTTGGCTAGAGTGCCATGGCGTCAGCCTAGCTCACAGCAACCTCAAACTCCTGGGCTCAGGCAATCCTTCCGCCTCAGCCTCCCAAGGAACTGGGAGCTACAGGCATGTGCCATCATGCCCGGCTAATTTTTCTACATATTTTTAGTTGTCCAATTAATTTCTTTCTATTTTTAGTAGAGACGGGGTCTCGCTCTTGCTAAGGCTGGTTTGGAACTCCTGACCTTGAGCAACCTGTCCGCCTCGGCCTCCCAGAGTACTAGGATTACAGGCGTGAGCCACCGTGCCCAGCCTTCATATTTTTAAAATTAATTAATTTTTTTTTTACCCATAAGACAAAGTTTCCTGTGTATCATATGTTAATATAAAGAAGGCACATAGCACTATTCCTGGTACACAGTAAGTGCTATGCAAGTATATGCTATTATTGTTACTACTATTATTTTTACTTACACAATCTACAACAAAGAACAATGCTAACCTTTTTTCTTAAAACCTTCTCCCATAACTTCTGTTAATGGTACTGTTTATAATCTTGTCATCCATACTCTTTTCCATCCAACTGTCACCTGTCTTTTATCAGGACCTCCTCATTTTTTGCAAGACTCCCAATTTGTCTCCCTGCCCCAGATTTTCCCACTTTCATCCTAGCTCCATGTAGCATCTTGTAGAGCCATCTTTTAAAAGGCAAACTTGGTCACTTTACTTCTCTAATTAGATGAGACTCTTCAAAGGCTACTAATTCCCTACAGAAAAATAGTCTCAATTTCCTAAAGTGTCATGGAAGACCCCATTTTATCCCCCGTTCCCCATATCACCTCTAATCAATCCTCCAATTTATAACTAACTTACAATTCCGCCTCCAAATTTCTAAGTTCATTTATCTGTGTACTATGCACATACTGTTTCATCTCCCTGGAATAATATTTACCTGCCAGAATCCTATTCATCTTTAAATGCTTAACCCAAGAATTACCTCTAGTTAAAAGTCTCCCCTAAAAAAAATCTAAAGGAATTGAATACTCCTGTCCTATGTGCCACCACTCCACACAAAAATTCTTCACAGGCTAGCTGAAATTTCTTTCGAGCTCAACTTCTTTTCAGGATTTGGGTAAAAGCTGTTGGAAAAAGTAAAGGAGTAAACCTTTAACACATTAACTGCCATGTGACTTGTATTTAACTCACGCTAGTTTTGAGCCCAGGGCCTCGTGAAGTACATGTAACTCACACATCTCTTCACTTTGAGAGCCATGAGAACTATTTTTCAAGTTGCATATAATTCAGGCATAGAAAACAATAAAAAATGACAAAATTTTCATTAACTTACAAAGGATCATTTTGTTTTCCAAGTTTTTATTAGAAAACTGTGGTCCCAAGGAAAAAATTTTTTTTCTAGTGTGGCAGTCAATGTGTTATATAATGGGGTAGAACTGAGGAATACCTCTCCTTCCAGAACACAAAAGAAAAAGAGAATACAATGATTTTGAACAAATGAAGGAAAAAAGAAGTATATTAAATGGAAGGGAGCAGATGAATGAAAATGTAGACTAAGTAGATTATAAATCCTGTAAAATGTAATATAATTTATCTGTCTGCCTGTTTGCTTAATTAGTCCATGGGATCTTAAAAGTCAGAAACCATGTCTTGGACAGTACCTATCAGTGCCTGGTACACAATAAGTGCTTAATAAATATTTGGTAAATGAATAAATTTATTTGTTTCCATAATTTGAGTAGAAGTTTTAATATAAAAATAAACAAAAAAATTATCATTTTCTGGTTTAGAAATAAGTAAATAACAACCCCCCATCTCTACCCCATAAAATCAAACATAGTTCTTATAGAAAGCAAATAGAAATCATGGTTCATTTTTTTACAAATGTTAGAAATGCCAAGTATAAATTTCATGATTCATCCCAAAACCAAAATAATTACCTATTTGGCCAGCAATGACAGGAGGTCTAACAACTAAAAGTATCAGTTTATCAAGCAGAAGATGAAGAAATCTGACCACTGGTTCCAACTGAGATGAATTCAATGCTGAAATACTGCTCTTCAATTCATTTTCTAAGTTATTTTCCATGATTCGCATGTCTCCAATTCGGACTGGGAACATGTGTTCATCCAGAGCATTGACCAGAGCAAAAAACTTGTCAAGATAAGGATCCTAAAACAAATAATGAACAAAAGCACTAAACAAGTATAACTACAAATTGTCCAATTCTGAAGAACTATGGACTACTAATGTCTCATATTAATTGAAAATATTAAAAAGCACATATAGGTATTTAAAAATACTGTTTTCAATTAAACACATCTATTATCATTTATTATTGTAAAACAGCCACTTGAAATACTATTAGTTACTCAAGAAATCTACTGATACTAATTAAGGATTCCTTTTTAGTTCAAGTTTGCTTTACTAGTTTGGAGCTCAATTATTATGGCAGGCACAGTAGTAACCTACCTGTGCCCATTATTAATTTATCATCTCTTGGTTCCAAACTTACCATCTTTGTCATATTTTATGATACTGGAGTCATTCTTTTACTGAGGTCTACCTGTATACTGTTAAATATAATTTAGCAATTTTCAAAGTTTTTTCTAAACATAGTATAGAAGTGTTGTGTCTAATTTTCCCCTACCTCACTGTGCAGAAAAGATTTAACATAGCAGGCTTAAGATTACTATTCTTTGAAAGGCTTGCTTACAAGGCTGGCTTTCAGCTGGTGTTTGGTAACTTGGTTTTCAGGAGAGTTCCCACTGATAGGGATGGCTCATTGTGCCTACACAGTTTGTGCAAACAATGTGGTTTATGCTGAACACCTGCTTTTCTTCTGGGAGTCTAGAATTTTGGTATGTGTTAGGCAAAGAGGTACTTATTTGACAAGCCCTAGTAAAAACCCTGGGAACTGAGTCTCTACTGAGCTTCCCTGGCAGACAACATTTCACATATGTTGTTTCAACCAGCCCTGTGTGACTCTATAGGGAAAGTATTCTTGGAAGCTTGTTTCTTGTTTCCTCTGGACTTCACTCCATGCACCATTTTCCTTTGCTGATTCTGCTTTTCATCCTTTTACTAACATAAATCATAGTTGTAAGTATGACTATATGCTGAGTCCTGTAAGTCTTGCTAGCAAATCACTGAACTTCAGGTGGCTTTGGGAAGCCCCCCTTCCCTTTACAGACTGGTGAACCCCTGAATTCCATTTTAAACATTTACCTCTTCTCATTCTACATTTTCTCCCTGAAAAATCTTATTTACCAATATAGTTTCAGCTATCACATTTATTCTGTCACCTGCAACCTCAAACTCCAGACCCAGTACAACTGCCTATAGGGCATCTCCATGTGACGTATATAGGCCCTTCAAACTCAACAGGTTCAAAAGTAAACTCATATACCACCATACTTGCTCTCCCTTGGGATGCCCCCAAATTAACTTCTTTCATGTTCTCTATTTAGCTCAGAAATTACTATCTACCTGGACTCCACTGCATTCAAGCTCCTTCATCACCTATTACCAGCCTGGTCTATCTTCATGTGTTATGATTTCCTACACACTTTAAATCACTTTCACACCAGATTACTTACTGATCCTTCAACACAGACTATTGTTGCTTTCCTATCTGATCATCTGAGTTGTCCACTCTCCTTTTCTCTGTATGGTAAATGCCTACTTATCAATGCAACATCCCAGTACCCAACAGAACAGATAACTCTCTCCTCTGTACTTGAAAGGATTTAGTTAATATATATGAAAGTACTAATTTTATCATAATCATTTTTATACTTTCCCCTATTACATTGTAAGATCCTTGAAAGAATGGTGGTTTCCTTGATAGGTAGCATTTCTGACCTCATGGAGCTTACTGTCTAATAGGGGAAAGAACCAAAAAACACACACATACCAAAAAACACATACACACACAAGTGGGAAGAGTGACAGAGATAGTCAAAGTACAACAGAGAAAAGAGAGGCAGTAAGAAGAGCAGTGATAGGGCTGCTACATTTAAGAGTCACCAAAGATGGCCTCTTTATGGTGAGGAGAAACTCTAATGCAGAGAAATCAAATGAACGTCAGGAGGAAACACATTCCAGCCAAAGAAAGAGTTTAAGGTACAAAAGCTCTGAGGAGAATTTGGCCTTTTCTAGAAAAAGAGTAAAAAATTTGAAGCAAATGATCCCTAAAACTCTTTTCATTTGAAATACCTGAGTCTATGACAAATAAAATGAATTGGATAATGGTTTTTCAACTCTAATTATTCTGCCATGTACTAGAAACTTAGGAAAAAACAAGTCATTTAATTGTCAAAGTTAAGCTAATGACATTTCGAAAAGCAAAATGTTTGCTTTTGTTGACATGCAATGACATTTTGTTGATTCCTTACCAAAAAAACCCTTCTAGATTTATATGATTGTAACTAACACATATTTTTCCCATAAATGTGACAGCATATAACAGAACTGATATAAATATTAGTAATATGTTTAATTCATTCAAGGGAAATTATATTATAAAAATTATTAAAACTCACTTGTGTATGGATAGATGAAACAGCAACAACTTCAACATTAAAAACACCTTTGTGATTATCTACCCATTTCATGCCAGGCAGAGGAACCTGTAAGATATTAAATATAATGGTCACAGATGCTTAAGTAGATTATAAATTCCAAAAAGGAAAAATTACAATATCTCAGTGAGAAAAAATACTATGAAAATATATTTTTATTCATTGTAAATAAGTTAAAGCTTATATTTAATTCTTATTAAAAATCAATAAATATTTTCTACAAAAGAATTAAAAGGCTCAAGGGGCAAAAAGCATAATACACAAAATTTCTATCTTCTCCTGCTGTATCATTCCAAATCTTCCTCTATATACACATATTTTCCTATGTACCCTTATATAGTTAACACCAAACATACTATTTTGAAACCTGTTTTTCATATATTACATTGTTAATCTCTTTTAATGTCAATAAATTAATATTTATAATGTCATTTTAATGATGTATAATATTCTATTTTCTTTATTTTAAACATTCCCATTATGTTTTAATTGGGCTTTAAAATATTCACAATCAAAGAAAGCCTATTGTTTTAAAGATTAGAAAACTTTTTTCTGATATAAATTGCTAGAAATGTCAATTAAAATTATATCATAAAAATAATTTTTAAAAGCAAGTACATAAACTGTCTCTATTCCTCCTGCTAAGTACAGATAAAAACCCTGAAACATGACATATAAAATGAACATAAAGACTCTAAAAGGTGAAGATGGGCTTCAGATCTCAGGGTATAAGATACTACAAGGCAGTTATTTCTTGGGTTTTATTTTTGCCTCATATATACTTGACTAGAGGAGGATGGCAATTCAGAAACATCAAAAGAAGAAGACAAAGTCCCAAGAAGAGCCTGCTCTCTGTAGCCACAGCCCATAACACTCCAGCCAGTCACAAGAGAATAAATCTTGGTCCCATGCCTATCTCCACAGGCTTAATGGGGAGTCTAGGCTGCTACCCTCAGTTGGCCATAATAAGGTACCCCTCTCTCCAACCCACCCGAAACCCACTGGGGTGGTATCAGAGAAGACAGAGTTGGGAGTTTGTCCCTACCTGGTGATAACAAGCCCTCAAACAACTGCAGTGTCAGTGGAGCTCAAGCACGGTGCAGTAACAAGGTGTCCCTCCCCCTCACAACCAGGAAGATGTCAGCAGAGGCCTTGTTTGGAGACTGAAATCCCACCCTCACCCAGTAATGAGCCACCCTCACCCAACCCACCCTAGGGAGTAAAAGGAGGAAGAGTGGATAATGTGGACCTTCATATCTACCTGGAAATAGGGCCTCCCTCCCCCACTGCTAAAACAATATTTAAATAAGATCTATAGTCTCACAACATAATACCTATTATGTCCAGGATATAATTGAAAGTCATGTCTCATACCAAGACCAGGAAAATCTCAACTTAAATGAGAAAAGACAATCATACTAAGACAAAAATACTAAGATGACACAGATGTTAAATAGTTCTGACAAAGATATTAATGCACTCATCATAAAAAAATGCTTCAACAAACAATTACATATATCCTTGAAACAAATGAAAAAAGTAGAAAGACACAGCAAAACAAGAAAAAACAAAATATGAAGGATCTCTTTCCCATCTTTTTATCATGTATAGGAAAGAAAACCAAGCAAAGTCAGTTTCTTGTTATATATTTCAACACTAAGTAGATAAAAAGTTCAGTATCTCTACTGAAGCAAATAATGAAGGTTTTGAAACAATTTTTTGAAAAAGGTGGTGGAGTAAGTTGAAACCTAGCAAAGCAAGAAACAGTATTAGCTTCTTTAATCCAAAATACTTATTTTCAGATTAAAGAAAAATACACACGTAATATATGCACACATACTTCTTTAAAAACAACAGTTTTCAAAGTTTGGTCTTAGAACCAGCAGCATAATCATCATCTGGGAACTGTTGCAAATGTAAATACTCAAGCCCCAGACCTACTGCATCAGAAACTCTGGAAATAAGGTTCATCAACTGGCGCTACAACACACTCTCTAGGTAATTTTGATGCATGCTCAAGTAAGAACTGCTATCTTAAAATACTCTAACAAAGCCTGAGCAAGAGTGAGACCCCCATATCTATAAAACATGGAAAAATTAGCCAGGTGTGATGGCATGTGCCTGTCATCCCAGCTACTTGGGAAGCTGAGGTGGGAGGATCGCTTGAGCCCAGGAGTTTGAGGTTGCAGTGAGCTATGCACTGCACACTAGCCCAGGTGATGAAGTGAGACCCTGTCATACAAAAAAAAAAAAAAAAAAAACCAAACCAAAACAAAAAACTCTAATAAGCAGCAGCAATAGCAATGCCATAACAAATGGTTCTATAGCACTTTATATGCCAGCGCTATTCTAAAAGCTCGTCATATTATCATATCATTCAATCAATATAACCCATTACATTAGGTATTAATTATTCTCCTCATTTTACAGATGACAAAACTGTGGCACATAGAGTCTGGGATGCCATAACAAAACACCATAGCCTGGGTGGCTTGAACAACAGAAATGTATTTTCTCACAATCCTGGAGACTAGAAATCCAAGATCAAGGTGCCAGCATGGTTAGTTTCTGATGAAGGCTCTCTCCCTGGGTTGCCAAATGGTTACCTTCTTGCTTGTATCCTCATGTTGGTTGGGGGCGGTGGGGAATGTCAAGCTCTCTGGCATTTTGTCTTATAACAGCACTAATCCCATCATGAGGGCCCTATCCTCATGACCTCTTTTAAATCTGATTACTTCCCAAAGGCCCTACCTCCAAATAACATCACATCGGATTAGCATTTCAACATACGAAATTTGAGTAGAGACAATTTGGTCCATAGCATTCTGCCCCTGTACCCAGCTTGCATGCACAATATATTCAGTCCATTCCAAAAGACCCAAAAGTTTTAATTTATTCCAGCACCAACTCTGAAGTTCAAAGTTTCACCTAAATATCATCTATATCAGATATGGTGAGACACAAGGTCAAAATTCCTGTCCGGCTAAGAATCTATGAAACCAGAGACATTATGTATTTCCAGTATAATGGTGGGTCATGCAAAGAACAAACATTCCCATTCCAAAAGGGAGAAATGAAAAAGAATGAAGGGATGACAGGTCCCAAACAAGTCCAAAACCTAGCAAGGCATTAATTAGCTACTAAGGCTCAAATGAGACTCTCTTGTTTTTACAGTGATTTGTTCTTTAAATAAATTTTATTGTATATGTTTAAGGTACGCAACATGATGTTATGGGATACATATAAATAGTAAAATGGTTACTAGACTGAAATGAATTAATATCCATCATCTCACAGTTACCCCTTTTTTTGCTGTTGTTTTTGTGGCAAGAGCAGGTAAAATCTGCTCATAGCAAGATTCCAAAATGCAGTACGATTTTATTAACTACAGTCCTCATGTTAAGATAATGCAATATTTTTATTTCTGTATCTGACTTATTTCATTTAGTATAGTGTCCTCCAGGTTCCATATCTATGCTGTGGCAAATGGCAGGATCTTCCCCAATTTTAAAGCCGAATAATATTCCATATACTGCCTCACTACCCCCATACACAATGTCTTTATCAATTCATTTGTTGATGAAGACTTAGGTTGTTTCCATATCTTGGCTACTGTGAATAATGTTGCAAGGAACATGGGAGTGCAGACAACTTCACAAGAAGGTGATTTCATTTCCTTTCAGTTTATGCCCAAACACAACATCTCTAAGTCAGCCTCTAGATCAGGGGGTCACAAGGACCTTTAAGGCTCATTACATATGGTATTCTATGGAAAGGATTGTCAATGCTAGGGAAGAGAACTCTGACAGAGAGAACATCATGAAAGTCTGGAAGGATTTACACCATTGAAGACGCCATTGTTGTTATAGAAAAAGTCATCAAGTCCAAACTGATAAAGTTCTGGAGAAAACTGTGTCCAGAAGTTGTGTAAGACTTCACAGGATTTACAACATAGCAACTAAGGAAATCATGAAAGAGATTATAGATATGGCAAAAAAATATAGTGTGTGTGTGTGTGTGTGTGTGTGTGTGTGTATGCGCGTGCACACGTGCCCGCGCGAAGAATTTTAGGATAAAGATCTTGGAGAAATTTAAGAGCTAATAGACACCACATCAGAGGAATTAACAGAAGGCAACTTAACGGAAGTAAGTGCTTCTGAACCAGTACCGGATGATGAGGAAAACATAGAAGAAGCAGTACAGGAAACCAAATTAATGGTAGACAATCTGAGCTCCAATTATTCAAGACTGCTTTTGACTTCTTTTACAGCACGGACCCTTCTATGATAAGGTCATTGAAACTAATGCAAACAGTGGAAGATGGTACTATACATTTTTAGAGAGATGAAAAAGCAAAAAAAAAAAGTCAGACAGAAATTATGACATATTTCTGTAAAGTTACTGAATGAGCCTGCATTTCTTGCCTCTCCTTCCACCTCCTCTACCTCTTCTACTTCTGCCACCCCTGAGATAGCAAGACCAACCACTCCTCTTCTTCCTCCTTCTCAGCCTACTCAATGTGAAGATGATCAAGACCTTCATGATGAAGCACCACATGTATTCACCATCAAATTGGTATTAACTGATCAACACTTAAGTGCACATATAGTAATAACATTCATCGGGTATCGGGCAGATGGAAGGGGGAGGCAAGGATGGATATATTCACACCTAATGGGTGTGGTGTGTACTGTCTGGGGAATGGACATGCTTGAAGCTCTGACTCAGGCAGGACAAAGGCAATATATGTAACCTAAACATTTGTACCTCCGTAATATGTTGAAATAAAAATAAATTTTAAAATAAAGACTTTTATGATGATCTACTTCTTAATGAATAGTAAATATACTTTCTCTTCTTTATGATATTCTTTTCTCTAGCTTACTTTATTGTAAGAATACAGCATATAATACATATAAAATACAAAATATGTGTTAATTGACTATGTTATAGGTAAGGCTTCCAGGCAGTAGGCTATTAGTAGCTAAGTTTGGAGGACTCAAAAGTTATACATCTTCAATTGCACAGGGGTTGGTGCCTTTAACCCCCATGTTGTTCAAGGGTCAACTGTATATACAAATTTTAGCTCTTAATCAGGTGGTTTATTTCACATATTCATCAATGATGCTATATAGCTACAGTCAAATCCAAATTATCACCATATTCTTTATCTATGTGCATATCTAATAGCATTATAGCTAGAAGAAAACCATCAACTTCCCTCTAGAAAGCTGACCTTGCATTTGCAAATCAATTAAGTAAAAACAAATCCTGTAACTTCCACAAAACTATACTTTCTTTTAAAACATTTCCTTTGAAATATAATGTATGTCTGACAAAAGGCCCCTCCCCTCCCCCCCACCATTTTTGACAAAGCCACATAAAGCCATCACTGAAAAGATGTGTTCCTGGAAAACTGAATGAAAGATATAGGGGTAGGAGAGTCATATTTTTTTCCTACCGTCTTTATTTGTTCATTTAATAAAGATTTATTGAGTGCTTATGAGGTATCTAGGACTATTCTATAATAAATACTTCTAGATACAGCAATGAACAAGACAAAGTCCCCCTACCCTTATGAAGCTTATACTCTATGAAGAATAAATATTAATAAACAAAGAAATATTAAATATAATGTCAGTGATAAATGATATCAGGAAAATAAAGCAAAGAGATAAAGTGGTGGAGGCTGCTACTTAAGATAGAATAATCATGGAAGATTTCTCTGGAGAGGTGCTATTTGAGTGAACGTCTAAGTGAAATAAAGAAGCAGGCCTTGTGATAGAGCATTGCTAGCAGACGGAAGTACAATGGACTGGAGAATGTACTCTGGCTTGTGAACAGTAGCTGTTGATTCGTGATTGAAATTTTTCCAATGTTTGTTACAAGTCTTTCAAATCACATATGTAATTATCAAAGCTGCTAATATTTCTTGTATGCATGTTTATAGCTACATCATTTTTACTTAATCAATTATGAAAATATTCATAAATAAATAAATAATTAATTTAAATGTTTTTCTTCCTCCAGTCTTTTAGTGTAAGACACTAAAAGAAAGAAATATTCATTTATTTAAAGAAGCTTCTTATGTTAAAATATGAAAATTCCCCAAATTGATCTTTTGAGTTTACATTCCACATATTATTTTGGTTTTAAAATGAGTATGTATATTTAGGGGAAAAAACGGAATAAAAGCTTCTAAGTTTTACATAGGGGAATTTTAATGATCATAGAAGAATAACTTTTACTTCATTATCTACACACTTATAGATAGAAGAAATAGGGAAGTTTTCTTTGGTAAAAACATCTTTATAATGAAAAACCCAATTCATTCAATCTGGAGAATTATAACATGGGAAATACTAACCTCAGGAGACAGTACAGAATAAGCCTGTGGTGGTTTTTCCAGTGAGACCGGTAGGCAAAACTGGCCAGTCTTCAATCGCCCATTCTGAAGCATTGGTATCCACTTTTAAATGAAAAGAAAAGAATTTTAATTTAAATTATGTTTGTTATGAAAATAATTACCTGGAAAGCCTGTTTTAAGAACTTGGTATAAGCCAAATTTTACTCATCACCAAACACTAAGGGATTTAATTATATAAGTGATAATAATCAGCCTTCATAATTCTAAAGAGAAGTTTCTCTGATAATATTTCATTAAGGAGGACATCACCAAAACATTCTTATTACTAACCATGCAATATTTAAATCTATAGGGGGCCCTTTAAGGGAAAGTTGGTCTTAGAAAAAGGCCACAAAGTGAATCAATTTTAAAACTGAGATAATAATTTCAATGTAAACAGTAAAAGATAGATTTGATTAGATATGAATGCTAAAATCAAAACTAAAAATTATGAACATAAGTTTATCTTCTTACAGTTAGCAAAATTCATGTCATAAACCATAAGATACAAAAATAATGCATCAAATGTTGATTTTTCTCTTTTGAGTGAAAGCATGATTTTTCTGATAAAATTATGTGACAGCACATTATGATATCCTTCATCTTAAGTTTACCTTTTCAAGTTACTCATAATAATTTTTTAAAAATATTTAAGGGTTTTAGTTTCTTTTCTAAGAGTCTTTTTTGCACATTTCATTCAAATCATTCTCTTCTAAAGAAACCTTAAATCTATTATAGTTATACTATTGAGTAAACACCCGATAATCAGGACCAATACCTAAGCGTTTCCACACATTAGTTAATTATATTATTTAATTACATTAATGAGAATTTTCTTGTTATGATGATCCTAACCAATACAACTTTGTAACTATGGGGAATCAGGGAATATTCAAATAATAAGGAACATCAACTGTATCTTAAATATTAATTTTTAAATAATTATTTAAACATCAAAGAGCTAAATGTTTAGCCAAAATGACTTACTGTATATCCAACTGGGGTTTCAAGAGGAGTATTTTGTTTTTGTTGACAACTAACATGATAAAAAGTAAAAAGCAAGTGATGATGGTCAGTTAAAGTAGCAGGAAGTTTAACCTTGATTTCTTCATGAAAATCAGGAGACCTTCATATAAAAAAAAATACAATAGAGTCAGTAATTAGCTCAAAATAAATAAGTGCATTTGTATATTTGAACAATTTTATAATTAATTTTAGGATTCATGCTTAATTTTTCCTCTGGTCTAAAATACATTTTTTGAATCCCAATCTCTGAATAACTAAATCCTATTTCCAAATGAGGGAGCTGCTACTGTTTTTGAAATTTCTCATTCTATTTTTATTAATGGGCTGAGTAATCCTTCTATTTGAAAATTCATTCACCACCTTGATACTGAATTCTTCATTAGATTGGAAACTGTATAAAAGAAGAGACTAGGGTAGGACTTTCTATATTTATAAGCCGATTTTGACAAACATTCCATAGAAAAAACAATGAGTTTTACAAGTGTGTATTTTAGAATGATACCATAGAAAAACATTTTTTTATAGGAGTACAGTTTTATTTTAAGACTAATTTTTATCATCCTTTTGTAAAAAAGGAAAAAGGTATCTTTAAACCACTTAATATCAAGTTAGGCTTTTTATGAAATGTCTTACATCAATCATCTCATTGTTAAACAAAAAAATGTTACCAAACTATGGACTAGTATTGACTGACCGCTAAAAAAAAAAAAAGAAAGAAAGGAAGAAAGATAAGATCAGGGAATGCCCACAAATTGCATTTGTCCCACAGTTTGGAAGCACTCCCAGAAGATACTAGGAGAATATAACAAATATCATATTTGATCAAACCAATAGTACTTTATTCTCAATACTCACTGAGAGTAGACCCAAGGGGCATTTTTATAGAAAAGCATGGCTGTTATTCCTGATATAGACTTATCATCCCCATCTTCTATATTCAGTTAGTATCTCTCAGAATTATATTCAACAAAACTGTACTCAAACCATATGGCTCCAACTATCTTTAAAGTGAAGGCTGTCCTACCAATTAGGGTTTTTTTAAAGACACTAATAGGTAAAATATCCTTCCACTTCCAATAAGCCTCAAAAATACTAACAGGTGTAGATTTGACCACAGAAATACTAAGTGAAACTAGGCTTTTAATAATATCAACAAGAAAGATAGCTAATGCTAGCTGAGAACTTGATGACTTTAACGGAAAAAAAAAAAAAAAAAGATGCTATGCATCTTATAACTAATCCCACCAATCATCACTGAACTATGAGAAAGTTTAATTTACCACCAATGTCAGACAGTACCATCATTTTAATTCCATGAATGCTGACAGCAACAAAAATAATAACCTAGCCAAAAACTGGGATAATTTTAGAAACTACTTCTTTTTTATCAACATATTTCCTGGCATTGAGTGTTTCAGTTCATATCTGTCCTGAAATCACATTATGTGGAGGATTTTGTGAAAAATTAAATTTCTAAGATGGTTATTCATTCAACCAGTAAATTTAACTGCCCACCTTAAGGCTAAACATTGTGCTACTTTTGTGTAGCTTTAAAGATGAACATAAAAAACAATTACTCTTAAAAAGTATAGTAGGAATATAAAGACACATATATCAATAGCTATGCTATAAAACAAGGGTTGGCAAACTATGACCCACAGGCCAAATCCAGTACTTTGGCTGGTTTTGGACAGCCTGTAAACTAAAGTGGTTTTTACATTTTTAAATGGTTAGGGAAAAAATTCAAAGAATAAAAATATTTCATGATGTGAAAATTTTATGAAATTCAACTTTCAATGGCCATAAATGAAGTTTTATTGGAATACAGCCACACCCAATTTCTTCCAACTTTACATACTGTCTATAGCTGCGTTTTTTTGCACTACAAGACAGATTTGAGTGACTGCAAGAGAGACCATATAACTGCAAGCCTGAAATATATACCATCCAGTCCTTTATAGAAAATGTTTGCCAACCCCTGGTATTTAGCATATAGAGTTAAGTGCTTTAAGAACAGAGCTGAGCAGATTACTTCAAGTTTGAGATTGGGAAATTATGACTTAGGAGGTGACATTTGACATCGGCCTTAAAGAATGAGTAGGAGTTCAATAAACAGAGAGAACTGGTATTATAATAGAAAAAATATCCAAGAACAGCCCAGAAATAGGAAAGCGCAGGATATGTTTGATAATGAGGCAGAAAGAAAATCAATACTTAATAGCTGTTTGGGTACTAGAACACGAGAGGGAGGCAAAGATGTCTTAAATTTTAAGCCTGAGTAACGGAAAAATGGTGGTCCCATGAACAAAAATGAAGAGTCAGACAGAAGATAGAGTCAGGAAAAGAGTCAGGATTAGCTACATGGAAACTGAGAAGGCAGCAGGGCACCCAAATGAATATATCCAATAGGCCACTGAAAATACTTATCTGTACCTCAGAAGGAAGGTTAAGATTGAAAATAAAGAGTTGGGAACAATCCATATAAACACTAAAGTGGAATTTTTAATTGACTGTAACACCAAGAGATACATTAGGAAGAGAATATATAGAGAAAGAGGGTTAAGGGCAAAATTTTAGTGCTTTGTGTGGAATGCCTATACTTATGGGAAAGAGAATAATTGCTTACACACAAAAAAAGAGTGTTCAAAGAGGTAGAAGAAAGTCAAGATAGGGCCATAAAATTAAAGTAAGAAAGAAGAAAGTTTTAATGAGGGCAAGGAAAATACATACTCTATAACAGCACTGAGTAAAGACTTTTGTGTTTTTTCTTTAAGTCTGAGAAACATAAGCTTCTTTTGAGAATAAGAGATGGAGGCAATGTAGCAGGATACTGATGATGCAAGAGAAGGGATAACTAACTCATATTCTGGAAGAGGCTGGATAGGACTGTATGGGAGCAGAGGTGAAAAGATTTACACTGAGCAGGGAGTGAGCCATTACTCCCTTTGAAACGGAAGGAAAGGGAGAACAGCATGGAGATAATTTGAGGTGAAGCATAGAGAAGCTGATAGGTCTCAAGTTGGATGGTCTTAATAAACTTAATAAAAGGAATACTGAGAGTAAAGCACACAGAAAAGAAGTAGAAGCTAGTGCTAAATGAGCAAGAAGATTAAAAAAATGATAATAAGATTACAAAAGAGCAGTGGGGCCAAAAGAAGATAAAATAAAATGAATTACTGTGGCCCAGCACATGATACAATAACATCAATTTGTAATAGTCCTGATTGGTACAATTTTGTGATTTTCTCCAATGGCATTCAATAATCTCCCCAAAAGAAAGCAGAAATCAAAGGTTATCCAAAGTTAGCAATTTCCCAAGGAAGTAAAATAGAAAGTCTTGAAATTAAAAGGTTACTGGATATTAAGAACACCACTAATTTAACTGACTACTGTGTTTGAGCTTAGTAAAGAGTTAAGTAAAACTACAAAGTACCAGGGGAAAATATCTGGGAAAGACCAAAGGACAAGAGGCCACAGTGATAATCAATAACAATATAATAAAAATGAAAGGATCAGAGAATTTGATAGAAAAGATGTTTTGTGTACAAAGTCTTACATTTCAGATGTCTATGGAGAACGGCTGTGCATCTACAGATTGAAAATTATAATTTTGATGTCAGCCTTGAATTTGGCACATTCAGTGCAGCAAAGTATTTGGTAAACACACTAATGTGGGTACTAACAATGCCACTGAGAAGTGAGTAACTTTGAAAGAAATATTTGAATTCAGTACCTGTTATGATATACTACGGCTGTATACGCTTCCTTTGAAAATTCTGAACAGCTAGATTTACCAAAGATTACCTGAAACAAATAACAGCATGTTGAAATATCTATGTAAGAATTTGTCTGATTTAATAACTATTTGAGAAAAATGGGCAAAATCAGCCCAGTGAAGAGCAATGTGCCTAATGACGTTCATTAAAAAGTTCAATTGCTTAACTATAAATCTCAACGGTAGACCCATCTAACATTCAAACATTAAAAAATTTTCTATCAATTATATTTATATCTACTGGGCAATAAGGTACATTTCTTTCTTTTTCTTAAAGACAGTGAAGAATTCATTTTTAAACTAGATATAGTACATCATTTGGAATTTACATAAGAAATATGATCTTAGAATGGTGGCATACATCAACTACACAAATTGATGGGTTCTCCACTAAAACAGCAGAGTAATTCTGAAAGTCAAATATAAATTATTTATAAATTATATGAAAAAATCCTATTTTAGCTCAAGCTATGTATCCCTTTGCTTCTGCAAGCTACTGTACAATGGAGGAGGAGCTCTATTCTTAAATTTGTATATACATGTTTTTTTAAAAAATCCACCACATAAAAAATACAATACTACTTTTGGAGAAAGTTTAAAAGTAAAATAATTCAACCTTGTGTATCTGCCTCTTTAATTCTAACACGAATACTGTGGTTAATTAGGGCAGCTGATTAGATAAATGGCTTAATGATGTCAAGGTCACAGTTCTAATTTCTATGTGAGACAGTTAGATTTGCAATATTATCTAGACATTAAACTCTTAAGTCTGATAGCCATCTTTACATATGCATGAATAAGTAAGTGGATATGTCAGTGCATTTCTATCAACATAACCGGTAAAACAACTCAAAGTTTCTTCCTTTTATAAATGGATTAATAGGTATCATCCTTAATTCAAAGGACATATTAGCAGATATTTCTTCTCCTTGTTGCAACATTTCAAGCAGGTTCTTTTATTTTAAGAATATATAAAACTGTAATAATTATGACTTTCCTATATAAGTAGTATTTCATCAAATTGCAAATATGTTTTCATAAAATGTTGCTCCAGTGCCAGAATTATAAATTTTATAATTTTTTAATATCAACATTATATGATCAAAAAATTATCTGATAGCCCATTTAAAGTCCTTATTTTTAAAAACATAAGATAAACAGCCCTTATTTTTAAAAACATAAGCAAACACGGTATGTCTATATTTATACACTCTTTCAAACCAGTCACTTGCATAAACATAAAAATATTATTTTCATAACTAATACATAGTGAAAGAAATGTAGTACCTTTTCTTCCCCTCTGAGAAGGTATCACTTTTCATAAAATAATTTGCTTATTTTCATAACATGAATGATATAAAGTGGAAAGTTCCCTTTTGATCATTTGACATATTTTTTTTTTTTTTTTTTGAGACAGAGTCTCACTTTGTTGCCCAGGCTAGAGTGAGTGCCGTGGCGTCAGCCTGGCTCACAGCAACCTCAATCTCCTGGGCTCAGCGATCCTACTGCCTCAGCCTCCCGAGTAGCTGGGACTACAGGCATTCGCCACCATGCCCGGCTAATTTTTTGTATATATATTTTTAGTTGGTCAATTAATTTCTTTCTATTTTTGGTAGAAACGGGGTCTCGCTCAGGCTGGTTTCGAACTCCTAACCTTGAGCGATCCGCCCGCCTCGGCCTCCCAAAGTGCTAGGATTACAGGCGTGAGCCACCGCGCCCGGCCCATTTGACATATTTTTAATCATTTGGCAACATGCATTGAGCATCAATTATGTACCAAGCACTGTGATAGACATCAAGATGAGTAAGACATATAGTCCTTGCCCTCAAGGAGCTCACAGTCTAATAGGCAAGATGAAGAAATAAACATATAATCATAAAGTGGTAAGGCTCATGAAAGAAGTGAGAAGATGCTATGGTAGCACTAAAGAGGGGGTGTTCTGCCACTATAGGCTGGGTACAGCTGTGGCTCTATGGAAGAGGCCATGTATATGCTAAGATAAGGAAGAGTTTGTTAGGCAAACAATAAAAACAGGTTTTATGTATACTACATTTGTCAAAAGCTCTAACTCATATGGAAATTCACATATAGGCTGACTAAGCATATATTTTCATAATCTAGTATCTTTTCATCAACTATGATAATAGACTCATTTCTTCAGCAGAAATGAAGAAATAGTAAAGAATATAAAATGCTAATTCCAGATCTCAAAAATAAGTTCTACAGTTATTCAGCATGTATTACATGCAAGTATCTGAAATAGCTGCCATAGGAGAATACAAAGATGAATAATTTGTGCTTACTGTTGTCAAGAACTACAAATAATGAAACTGAGGCAACAAGGGAAAAGAAAATATATTAATATCTTTCCTAGTAAGTAGACCATTAGAAGAACTTGATTAAAAGATGGATATAGAAGAATGAAATAAGACTGTTAACAATGCACCTATTCTTAGCTCATTTCATTCTACTAGGGTTCTCAAAGGTTGAACATTTAGTGATAGTTGATATGTTACCAACTTTAGTTGAGCCAAAAATCTACTGTCATGGAACTTGCATTTATTAGCGTTCCACAGATCCTAAATGATAATTTGGGCGGTCAAAAATCTCTCCAGTCTGGCCTCAATCTACTATTTCTGACTTATCTTCCATAAGTCAGTTGACTCACTGGCAACTCAACACTATTCATGGACATTACCTAACTTGAATTGCTTTCCTTCCCCCCCTTTCCAGACCCACTGTCATTACCACTTTAATGACCTTTGGTTTCAGCACAAAAGTACCTCTTTCATGTGATGCTTACTTGTTACCTCAGTGAGGCATTCTCTCTTACCTCTGAATTTCTATTCCTTTGAATCCCTATACCAATCTTTTAATAATTAGCACATATCTTGGTTCTCAACATTGGCTGCGGGCTGGGTGTGGTGCCTCATGCCTGTCATCCTAGCACTCTAAGAGGCCGAGGTGGGAGGATTGCTTGAGGTCAGGAGTTCGAGACCAGCCTAAGCAAGAGCAAGACCCTATATCTACTAAAAATAGAAGAAAAAAAAATTAGCCAGGCAACTAAAAATAGGAAAAATTAGCTGGGCATGGTGGCATGCACCTGTAGTCCCAGCTACTTGGGAGGCTGAGGTAGGAGGATTGCTTGAGCCAAGGAGTTTGAGGTTGCTGTGAGCTATGATGATGCCATGGCACTCTAGCCCAGGCAACAGAGCGAGACTTTGTCTCAAAAAAAAAAAAAAAAAAATTGGCTGCAAAATGTAATCCCTTGGTGAAATTTAAAACTATTAATATATGGTTCTGATCCCCAGAGATTATGATTTAATTCAAATGAGATTCAGCCTGGGCACTGGTATTTTTAAAAGCTTCCCAGGTGAATCTAATGTGCAACCAAGACTGACAATTAATGCCAGAGTTTCTCATCCAAGATGGGAAGAGCCACATATACTGAAATCACGTGGGGAGCATTTTAAAACTATAATACAACCTCATATAACACTCATCAGATAAGGGAGGTTATCTGGCCTTATCTGGCCTTACATTCTAAAGAGATTGAGGAGAATCAGAATCACAGATGCCAAAAGTAGAGAAAACATATCTGTACTTTGAAAGTTTCTAGTTGATACTGACCTGACCCCCTTTTGAAAGCCGCCATTTTAGCTTGTATGTATTTGTTTTATATCATCTAGATTACAAGTCTTATTCATCTTTGCATCTCTGGGAGTGCCTAGCATATACCAAGCCCTCAATAAAAAGTTAGAATTTAAGTTACCTCATTATTATCTATAAAGGAAGTGATGCAGTTAGAAATTTGGTTTAAAAAGAAAATCTATTTGAACCATATATGAAGAATAGGAAAAGTAAGGAGCATTTCTTACCGGCATGGCATTGCTTGGATCTTCTCCATACATAAACTGGACTTTTACTGTTATGTTTCTGGCAGAACCTTGACGATTGGCAAAATTAAGACTCTGAGGGTATATGTATAGAAGATTTCTGTGAAAGTAACAATATAAATGATAGTAAATACATACCTAAAAACACAATGTCTCACTCACTAAATACCACAAAAGAAAGGTGAACACATACTGAATTATTAACATTTGCTAGCCATTGTGCTAAGTATTTTCACATAAAGTGTTTTACTTGATCCTTAGAGCAATCATTCAAATACATAGCTATCAAATATATCCCAATTCCACAGATAAATTGAGACCCAGAAAGTTAAGTGATTTTCACATACAACCAAGTGACAAAGCTGAAATCAGAGCACAAACCAGTAAGACTTCAAAACTCATTGTCTTTCCTCCACAAGAGGCTTCTGAGAAATAAAACTTTTGAGTATGGACTGAAACATTATTAAGAAGTTAAAAAAACTTCTAATATTATCTTAGTTGCTCCAAGCAGATATAAATAGGATAGCATTTATAAATGTTGCTTTTGTATAAATGTGATCACAGATTTAAGAGGTACAATTTCCATATTATGGTTCAAAAACATATTACAATATGGTGGGCATAACAGAGTAAGATACAGTAGTTACTATGGGACAATCACATTCTACTCTCAATTTATTTGACTTTTGTCCAGTTTATGATCTTGCATCTTGCACAAACTTTAATGGTCTCTACTGCCAACACAGAGAAGAAAACTAATTCAAAAAAAGACACCAAAAAATGAAAGAGCTAAAAAAAAAAACAAAAACAGAATGAGAGTTACTTTACCTGAAAACTAGTGCTTGGAGCTGATGAATAAGACTTCAAGTATAATGAAACCCTGCTAATCAACTGCTAGGGCAATGAAAATAAGACCTAAATTTTCTGGTGGGTGGTAGGGCAATATAGAAATTTTAAATGAACACACACTTTGCGCCAACAAACTCACTGAGGAAAAAACTGCAGACACGTTCAAATGGTTGTGTTCAAAGTAATTCATTACCACATTTTTTATAATATAGGATAATTACAAATAATTATAAAGGAACATAATGCTCACCAGTACTGGATTGGTTAATTAAATTAAGATACATTAATAAGAAGTTTGTCCCCAAACTGACAATGTATAGTACTAATAATTGATGTTGAAAAAGATATCCAAACATGTTGAATGGGGTATAGGGTTGGTTCTGGAGTTGAATCTATAGTAGCATTGCCCTATTTATAGAAAACTCTGTGTGTGGGGGTGAGGGTGGGTAGGAAGAGGAAGAGAGAAAGAAAGAATGAATAAAATTGTATTTCTGAAAAATAATGATGGTTTGAGTTTCTTTTTTTAGTTAATAGTAATGGCTTTATTTTCTTTTTTTATACTTCTCTATTTTGTTTGAATTTTTACAGTGAAATATATGATCTTTACAATTAGAAAAAGTAATACAGTAATTTTTATGGTGGAGGACAGGAGCGTCTTTGACAATAAGCATACACTTTAGAAATATTACAGAAATGGAGAAGAGTCAGTTGTACTCAAAATAGTCAAAAAGTATAAAAGGCAAATATGGAAATGTTATGATTGGTCAGTTTGCTAATCAAAGATGACTATGACTAACCACTGTTGTCATCAAATAAAATTTGTACAGGAAATATTTGCTGATTCTTCAACAAATGTCAGACAATGTGTAGGGCACCAGAGAAATAAAGGAAGATTAAGAAGCCATTCCTTCTTTGTTCTTGAGGAACATAGTCTGATGAGGCAGAAGTACCTATATCCAGATCATTTCAAGAGATCACTACAAGAGAGGTATGCAGAAGCTATGGGAGGAAAAGATAGGTACTTAGCTGTTTGCAGAGAAGTCTTTTCATCTGTAAGATCCCCATCTTTTCTATGCTTGAAAATTATTTGTTGAAGAAAGAGAACTGTTTTTGTGTAGATTTTTCCAGAAACTATATTTTACTGATTGTATCCCTGTAGTGTCATTTAAGATATTCCTCTGTGTTTTTTGTAAATTGAGAGTTGGAGCTAAAGCCTTGGTCATATTTAGGTTTAAATTTTTCAGCAAGATCACTTTATAAAGGATACTGTGTTCTTTTTTTGTTTTTGGTTTTTTCCCTTCATGATCCATATCTTACAGATGTCCATGTGTTCCTTTATCAAGAAGACAATGTTTGGTTGTTTCTTTCTGTACAATTAGTAGACAATAATGATCCATGCTTAAACCTATTAATTCATTAATGTTGCCAAAAGGTAATATTCTATCATTTCTTTTTTATTCAATAGCTGGAGCATCTCTATGAAAAGTGCTTTCTCTCATCTACTATTTGCTTTGCCAGTCAGCCACTATATGAGAGGCAGGAATAAATGTTTAATTCTTTTCCATTATTGCGAATTTTCAAAATAATTAATTGGTACACTATAATCCTCTAAAACAGATCCATTAAATATTTTTTAAGCATAATTTGTAAACTCATGGATGATACATATTTGATGGATTTCAATACACTGCGGTTATTATCCCTATGAATGATCAAATTGTCTCATCTTTGGAAAATTAAAAAAGCAATTCAAACTGGCATCCGATTCATTCATAATAGTCTTTGATAGCTTTTTGTTTTTCATTATGACAAGATGTGCCAGCTTCTTTTTATACATGTTCTCCCTAGACCTGGAATCAGTCATTTTTCTAAGGAGCTGTAGTTCTTTTAAGAAACGTTTTTCCAAACCACAGTCTGAACACTCTTTGTGGTCTAGTCATTGTTTCTAACCCACTTAAGTAGAAAGAGGATAAAAATGCTTTTAACATAAAATACATTCTCAGCTCATATTGATAGTTCAAATTCAGGACTACATGATTTTTACTTAATCTTTTCTATCTTATATCTGTGAATCATTTTTCATGCTAAGAATCATACTCCAGGCTATCAACTATGGAAGAATTAGAATTATATCATTTAATTATTTATAGTCTGTTTTATTCCAAGCATGGCATCTTAAGGAATTCCCAAAACTCTATGGTCAAAGGAGGATGAGCCTGCAAAGAAGACTGAAAAGGCATCCACAGAGAAGTAGAAGGAAAATCATGAGTATAATACATGGAAACCAAAGAAAGAAAATATAACAAGAATGAAATAGTTAAGTGTCAAAATGCTATTCAGAAGCCAAATGAGATAAGAACTAAAAAATTTCAATGGGATTTAGCAACATGAAGGGTCACTGATAATCTCAGGTTGAAAATGGTTTATAAAAGTAGGTTGAATCTGGCCGGGCGCTGTGGCTCACGCCTGTAATCCTAGCTCTTGGGAGGCCGAGGCGGGCGGATTGCTCAAGGTCTGGAGTTCAAAACCAGCCTGAGCAAGAGCGAGACCCCGTCTCTACTATAAACAGAAAGAAATTAATTGGCCAACTGATATATATATATAAAAAAATTAGCCAGGCATAGTGGCACATGCCTGTAGTCCCAGCTACTCGGGAGGCTGAGGCAGAAGGATCACTCGAGCCCAGGAGTTTGAGGTTGCTGTGAGCTAGGCTGACGCCACGGCACTCACTCTAGCCTGGACAACAAAGTGAGACTCTGTCTCAAAAAAAAAAAAAAAAAAAGTAGGTTGAATCTTATATTTTCCTGCTTAGAGCTGGAACCCATACTACTAAGTGAAGTATCCCAAGAATGGAAAAACAAGCAACACATATATTCACCAGCAAACTGGTATTAACTGAGTAGCACCTAAGTGGACACATAGGTACTACAGTAATAGGGTATTGGGCAGGGGGGAGGAGGGTGGGGGGCGGGTATATATATACATAATGAGTGAGATGTGCACCATCTGGGGGATGGTCATGCTGGAAACTCAGACTTGTGGGGGGAGGGGGGGAAAGGGCATTTATTGAAACCTTAAAATCTGTACCCCCATAATAAGCCGAAAAAAAAAAAAGTAGGTTGAGGAATAAGCAGGAATGAAGATAACGAAATAAAGTGACATTCTTAAAACTGTAGTTGTGAATGGAAAAAAATATAATGTAATAATTGGAGACAGAATATGGAGATTTTGAAAGTCTTTTATAATGGGAAAGGTTTGAGCTTGATTAAATCCTAATGAAAAGAATCCAGGTAAGACAGAGTTTGTATATACTAGAACAAGAATGTAACATTCCTGAGATGGTGGAAGAGAAATAGAATCCAAAGCACATGATAATATATTGGTCCTAATTCTGTCTAAAACTCCTTATTGTAACAAATACTACTAAATATACGTAGATACTGAGAATACAGAGATAAAAGACAGATACTGAGAATACAGAGATAAAAGACAAGCAAATATTTATAATGTAGTATGATAACTGTTGTGAACACAGAATAACACTTAATAAATGGGGCCCATAGGAGGATTTGGGATTAAAGAATCTGCCAACAAATCTCAATGAGAAATTTTCAAATAAGATAGACATATAAAACACACAGAAAAGTAAACTACATTACGCTTCCCCACCCCACTTACCCCACCCACCCCCTGCTCCCAAATCCCTACAGTAGGATTACTACTATCTTTGCTTTGTGGGCATGGACATGCCTGGTCTGTTCCCATCTTTCAAATGTAGGAAAACCTCCCCTTTACCTAGCCCCCACCACATTACTTTGTTACTTCATTCACAATTTTTACACAATCTGTAAGTATCTTGTTCATTTACATATTACTTATTATTTTTATATCTCCTCTAACAGTGCCCAAACTCCATCAGGGCAAGGACCTTGCCCATGCATTTAACTGCTATATTCTCAGGGCCTAAACAGTGCATCATAGTTACCGAATAATTAACAGTGCTGAATGTACACAAAAATTTAGTTACTTAACACTTCTAAGTATTTAGATTCCAGGTTAAATGGGAATTGACTGAACATTATCTATAAACTATGTATGATTTCTAATATAGGCAATACAATTTTATTTTTATTTATTTTTTGTATTAATTTCACAGGTAGAGGCAATACAATTTTAAATTTGATATCTCTGAAGATGAAAAGCATGCAACTGAATCCAGATTCTTTTCCATTTGACTACTAATAAATTCCC